ACGCTAATCGCAGCAAGTAGGATCTGTCAATCTTTGAGCATCAGAAGATGGCTTGCACATGAGTAGTTGTAACGCAGTTGTAAATTCTGTGTAATAGTCTTGGTGACTCAAAAAGTGTAATACCTTTAACCTATGTTGTTAAAATCGGACCGGATCGCCCGGTCGGACCAGTTAGATTGGGAACCGAAGAGGTTATCGGGCCGAATTTGAGACTTAACCGCTTAGCTAAAAAACCGGTCAAAACTGGTTAAACCCACGATCAGACCGGGAACCAGACGGTACCGGCTGACCACGGTTTCTTTTTTTTTCCCCATAAAAAATCCAATTTCATCATTTTTTTTCTTTTCTACAGCATTTTCTCAAAATTTTGCAAACAATTTCACCATCATCTTTACAAATCAATCACTCAAATCTTTTCTCCTCCACAACAATGACTATTTTTCAAGGGACGAATGCACGTTTTCATCACTAATGTATTGGGGGTAGCCTAACCCAGTCACCAAAAACATTTCACTACTGATTTTAGTCCCCTAATACTTTTTTCTGCCTGATTTTGGTCTTTTAACAAGTTTTTTGTAGTAATTGACGCAAATTTTAACCCCTGCGTTAAGCTCCAAATTTTTTTATTCATTTCCTGCAGGTGGTGGGTCCTGCATTTGTTGACTCTGAAAAAGAAATTAAAAATTCAGAAAATTAAAATTAAGTGAAAGTGTTTGTACTGCTACTGTTATCGGTGGGATGAACAGTCTGGACCTCTGTTTCTATTTGGATGAAGGGCTAAACTGAATTATTAGAAACTGGTGGATTTGATGAATAATAATAACAATAATCAGACATGAATGAATGAAAGAAAGAGAGATAAAAAACTAGGATGAGGATGAATCCAAAAGAAAGGGGAAATGAAAACGACAGCGTCTAAGTTGCCACACCACCGCCTCCTCATCTCCTGCGCCTCCGATAATTCCGACGAATTGTTCACCCAACTCGTCTCCGATCTCAACTCTTCCTCCCCCACCGGCTGCTTGCCAAGAACAAGTAGGAAATCGATTCAAGATTGCCAGAGAAGGGACTATCAAGCCATTGATTGAGATCATTTCCTTCGGCGATTCACAGCTACAGGAGTACGGCGTCACCGCGATTTTGAACCTCTCGCTCTGTGACGAGAAGAAAGATGCGATTGCGGCTGCCAGAGTTATAAAACCCCTAATTAAGGCTCTAAAATTTGGGACTTCTACGGCGAAAGAGAACGCCGCATGTGCCCTGTTGAGACTTTCCCAAGTAGATTTGAATAAGATCGCAATTGGGCAGTCCAGTGCAATTCCGCCGCTGGTGAATGTTCTTGAAATCGGAAATTTCTGGGGCAAGAACGACGCGTCGATGGCGATTTATTTGTTGTGTTCGGTGGAGGAGAACAAGGTAAGGGCGGTTCAAGCCGGGATAATGAAGCCGCTGGTTGAATTGATGACAGATTTCGGGTCGAACATGGTGGATAAATCGGCGTTTGTTTTGAGCTAGCTGATGTCGGTGACGGAATCCAGGGCGGCGTTGGTGGAGGAAGGCGGTTTCTATACTTTTACAGCTTTGTGAAGATAGTTTGAATTTTTAATTTTTTTTCAAGGTCAACAAATGCGGGACCAGCTGCCTATAGGAAATGAATAAAAAATTCAGAGCTTAACAGAGGGTTAAAGTTTCCGTCAATTATTACAAAAAAAACTTGTTAAAAGACCAAAATTGAACAGAAAAAAATATTAGGGAACTAAAATCAGTAGTGAAATATTTTTGGTGACTAAGTTAGGCTACCTCCTATAGATTAAGGACCAATGCGTGCATTCGTCATTTTTCAAGATCTGGAAACTTTTCTTTGTCCCATTCTTCCAATCCAAATCAAGAAAAGAAGTGATAAAGAGAAAATCTAATATTTCAAATCTATGATGAAGAAAAAATTGAAGAGAAGTAAAGTTAAAGAGATGGAGAGTAAAAGTAAAGGAAAACACAAATAAAAAAATGAACAAAAAACGTAGGAAGATGAAGCAATTCTAATATGGTTGGTCATAGTTCATCTTACAATGTGAGCCAAAGTGTCTAGGTACGCGCTTGTTATTCCTATATTTTAGGAAATAAAATAGAGAATTGGGATAAGATTTTAAAGAGAATCTTTCTCTAATTCAAACTCTATTTTTTATAGTAATTAATATATATATCCATCCAAAGATCAAATATTTAGGCCTTGTTTGGACAACTTTTTATTTTACATTTTCACTCCTTTTACCTCTTAAACACAAAACCCAATGGAAAAGAAAACATCATCCAAACAACTTTCTAATTTACATTTTAAATTCCAACTTGAAACACTTTTTGTTAGTGTAATGACCATTTTAGAACTACAAATAGTTCAGTGACAAATTTGGCAGGATTCCGTTATTGAGTGATTTTTTTGGAAAAGTTCTTTTTTGCAGTGACTATAATTGACAGTATTTAATTGTTTAGTGATGACTTGTACTTGATTCAAAATACTTTTTTTCAAAACCAACATCCAAACAATATTTTTATTTTCCATTTAGTTTTCAATTTGAAACACTTTCCACTTTTAAGTGGGCAAAATGAAATGTAAGTTGACGTCCAAACAAGCACTTAACCTTTCTCTTCCACATCAGAGAATCTGTCTCATATATATAAAAAAAAAAACTCCATTACCGAAAAAATCACAAGAATTCATCACAATCAAGAATCACCGTTGCTGGCATCGTCAAATTAGTCAATTGAGAATAGAAGAAAAAAAAAGTTTTTCCATTATTATTTCAATATGTGGCTATAAGCTAGTAGCAGTTATTTTCTCGTGAATCTATCTTCGGTTGGCGATGAATATTTTTTCCCTGATAGTTTGAGTTATTATTTATACAATATTTCAAATGATATTTTTGAAGTTCATACTTAATGACACTGTCATTGCCTCAATCACTCTTCTTGATGTTGTTATGCGAAAATAGTGAAAGAAAGCAATAAAATATTCTCTTTTTTCTCCATTTTTACTGAATCAAGTAGGATCTATTTGTATTTATGGTATTTTTTTGAAAATAGTATTGTGGTTTAATATTTCATACACTTGTACACATATTTTTTTTTCTTTTTTCCTTTTTGTTTTAATTTTAATTGTATGTTCAATCTTGACACCCAACTTCAATTAATATTTTGAAGTTCATACATGCTGACTAAAATGTTCATAATATGATTAGATTTTATTCATGATTTTGTTTTAATGAATTCCTCTATCATGGTACCAAATATTTAAATTGATATATTAAAGTTTATATATTTAGTGAATAATGTTCATACTATGATCACTTTTTGTTCATGATTTTTGCCTTTCACAAGAGTGTGTTTTCTGAAATTAATTTTTTGGTTCAGGAGAATAAAAGACCATTTATTGATAAAATTGTAAATACATTATAAGTTTTTTCCTTTTCTCTCTCTCTCTCTCTTTATTTTTTTTTAGTCTGTGTGTTTTTTGATTCACGTGTTCAACTGTTGATCACAATTTCTTAGATTTTTTTTTATGTACAGTAATTGATTATTGCCCCATAGGATATTCAGAAATATTTTTAATCTATGATGCTTTTGTAATGGTGTTATTTGGAGTTGATATTTACATATTTTTATAAAAATTTGACTAATAGGTTTATTAATTAAGGCCTTTTTTTATAAAAAAATAATAATTATCAAAGCCTATAGTTTGTTTTGATACTTGAGAAAATGGTATCTTTGTTTAATGATGAATGTAATTGCTTTTTGCTATCGATTTTTTTAATGTTTTCTCAATTTTTATTTTAAACGTCAATCGATAGTCTCATGTTCATACATTTTTGTGAAAGTTTTCATAGATTTTGTTAATGTTCATAATAATATTATTGAAATGTCATACTGATGTTGCACATTTATTTTTCCCCTTGCGTTCATACATTAACAACGTTGTTTTCATACATTAATAACGTAGTGTTCATACATGATTATTAATTGAACAAGTTTCTTATGTACTTCTTTTTATTTTACTTATGTTTACAAGTTTCTTAGATGTTTATATATATTTATTAATTTGTAGCAATATTTATACATTGATCAACATGCTAATATTTTTACACGATCAACCTTCATACTTATCTCTTAAATTCTTCATATAAATGATGCTAAATGTTCATAACAATTTTCAAATAAGCTGGATTGAAGAGGTGTTGCTCCAACTACAGTGGACGGTGTTAATCGTGCTGGAGGTAGTGGATGAGAAGATGGATTTGTTCGAATTTTAAATCAGAGAATTAAAATGCAGAAAGATGATGAGAGAGAATATTTAAATATTTTGATTAGATAAATATTGATAAAAATAAGATTTAAGATAATTATTAAAAAAAAGAATTTCACTTACTTTTTGGGAGAGTGAACAATACCTCTCTTTTTGGCTCAAAATGCAAGATGAACCATGGACCATGATATAATTTGCCAAGTTGAAGATGTTGATTATGGATAACCGTTGAAAGAAAAGAATGGGGAAGGGGGAGGGGGGTGGCGGCTGCGTAGAGGAGAAAATTTAGAGGTAGGGTTTTATATCTATACATATTTTTGTGTTGGGGTCCTAATATTTAGAGTATTACTAAATATACCCGTAAGTTTTATTCTTAACAAATTGTAGTCATAAATTTTATTTTTTTGATTGTTTTATACTTGCATATAAAATTTTATTCATAAATAATATCTATTAAATATTTAAATATAATTATGACGTCATAACAATGTCGCCGGTTTTTAATAGCGGTCTAACTGGTTCAAATCGGTGAACCAAAAACCTAGTAAGGGCACCAATTTGGACTTCGGTCCGATTTTCAAAACATAGTCTCTAATAAGTACCCTTAAAAGAAAAAACTAACCTTACACTATTTTGAAATTTACATACATAACCCACAATTTTCATCCCCCAAGAAAGAATTCATACGAGCTTCCACCTATAGCCAAAAAAAAAGAGGGCCTGTAGGCTGCCACTGATTCATAGGCCCATACTCTATTCATTTAATCCAAGACCTGGGAAAGTTTAAAAGGGCCCAAATCATTTTGAACTTTTATGCTTATCCATCCATTTGGTCATTCGGGGTTTCAGGAATGGAATTAGGCCCATCCACCCATCTGACAACGGCCTCACCAAATTGGGTTGAAAGCCTGCTCTGTGTCGTCTTCTTCGCTGTTCTTCTTTCCTCCCCCGGTCTCCGTCCATAGCTCATCAGAGTCAGAGCTCCTAACACCGTTTATGATTTCCACATATAATTACACAAATCCAAATCGCGCGCGGATAAATTAATTGTCTCCTGTCCTGGCTGTAGAAAGTTACAGTTTTACTCCAGTGATTGACTCGTCCAGGGTACTGTCATTTTTGGTTGATTCGGTGAAGATGATGGGGGATCCGGCGAGGTCAAATCTCGAGAATTTGGTACTGGATGAGATCACACCAGTTGTTATGGTTCTCAGTACTGAGCTTGTTGAGCAGGCGTCGGGAAGAAATGGCATCTCATTCGTTCAAATGCTCAGGCCTTTCTGCGTATTCAACAACATTGACGGTACGCTTTGTAAACGGAAAAGAACATTAACATTTAGCTATGGATTTTGTTTATTTTACTTCAACCGGAAAAATTCTTTTTCTTTTGAAAAGAAATGATCGTTGTTTGGTATTTTCAGTGCCCGTGAGGACCGCCAGTGATCAGCCTTATAGGCTGCAGAAATTTAATCTGCGTTTGTTTTGCGCTTCCGACATTCGGCAGCCCAATATAGAGGTACTATCTGTACTCTTTTCATGGTTTAGTTTGTTTCTTTTCTCATTAGTTCGTAATGGTTAGCCTGAAGTTACTGTGAGTGATTGGAAACACCGAGCTAACAGAACGGTATATAGTCTTGGTGAACGTACTGTCGGTTACTGTGAGTTCACTCATTTTTCGTGCAAAATGTATTGGTGGTCATATGCCTTTAGATTGTTTCTTCTCCCTTTTTTTTTGGGGGGGGGGGGTTGAATATAGTATGGAAAGTTGAACCATAGGGACACCTTTTTAGTGTGGTCAATGTGGTGCTCGTACCTCCTATTGGCGCAGCGAGACAGTTAACTGATTATGGAGTATATGGATTCCAATCCTTTTTGGTGAAGCATGACTACTTTTTGGCTGTTTCCTGGATCCTTTTCTCTTCCCGATGCTTGTGAAGTTCATACTGTGGATGCTTTTTGTGAATAAAACGGATATCTTGTTCAATTTGTGGTTGCTTGTTGCTGAATTTTATTGCTATCAAATACGTATGTTCCTAACATATATATGCAATCATCCTAATGGGTTACTCTGTAGATGTTTAACAAAACTCTATATTACTGTTTTATTATTTATTTTTCTGTGTGAGTGTGGCTATTGGGAATCAGATCAGCCTACCATTTGTTTTGTTTTCTGACAACTGAATTGTCTTTGAACCAGGCTGCAAAAGATCGGATAAAACAAGTCATAACTGAAGCTGGAGAAAAGGATTTTCAAGCTGTGTCTTCAGACCCTCTCCCAACTGAGAATATTACTGCAAGTAAGTTTTGTTACCCCAATTTTAGTAGTATGCAGTTTAAGTCTTTAAGATTGGTTTGGCTCATAGGTTCTTAATGGATATCCTGCTCTAAAAGAACATACTGTCTTGAAGCTGGGCGAATTGCCCCCATCTCCGAGAATAACATCAATGTTCCCATCTTAATTGTTGACTCTTATTAACTTCGCGGTATATAGTTTTGGTCTTGGATCTTATCAAGTATTTAGTTCCAAAGTCCCTTAATATTTATCATTCTACTAGCCGTGCCATGTCTGTTCACAGATCTTCATATCTTTCTTTCTGGAAAGAGATGAAAGAAGTAGAAAAAATATTAGCTGATATGTTTCTTGTTTTTAATCTAGTGTCGTTATTAATTCTTACTCTTATGCAGACCATGGAGAGACAGTTTTACCAACGTGGTTTCAAATGTTCAACAAAGAGCTGGTGCGATCAGTTTCTTTTGCGGAACATGAAACTTTTGACCATCCAGTGGCATGTAATATTTCATCTTTCTATGTCTTTTCCGCATCCCAATTAATTAAATCCATAGAGAAATAATTTCCAGATGCTTGTAGGATAACTTACCTTGCCTCTGGTGCTAGATTTTAATTTTTATATGTTGTCTCTTTTTGTAAGGTAGGTCTTTTGGCTGTGTCCTCAAAGGATGAAGATCCTATCAACAAATTTGTGGATCTTTTCAATGCTAACAAGCTACCGTCTCTCATTAATGATGGCGTGATGGATCCAAAGATTCTTAAGCATTTTGTGCTGGTGCATGATTATGAAGATGGTGAACCAGAAAGGTACTACTTTGGATAATTGAAATTAGAGAAGAGACATTAGCTAGATAGTAGATGTGACCTCTTTTAGTAGCACAATACTAGGAAACACTTAATACCATTATGAGATCAGCTAATATCTTATTTGCTCTTCCGTTTTTAAACCGTTAATTTTTTACTGCCAAGGGGAGGTGGGAACACAAGGAAGAATAGGATCAATCTGGTTGACCTATCATGTATATAAGAAATAAATTGACTCGTATTCAAGGGGTTGCTGGGGGAATTCTTGTTGGTAGAATGTTGCCAGGTGCTTGTCATTAGGGAGTTGGGTAGGTGGGTCCACTATGCGGTGGAGAGTGTGTTGGTCTGTGGGAGGTGTGGTGAAATTAGGAGTGAGAAGGGAAAATGAAAAACGGGTAGGGATTCCAGGTGACGTTTTCACCTTTCTATGTTTGATATGGGTGGTAATGATCTGAGTTGGTGAAATGATTGAATCTCTACTTTGAGAGTTCGTTAGGGATGAATAGTTGTTTGATGATGAAAGCTTTAGAATGACAAGTGTTGTGTCCCACTGCGATTGTAGAGAAATTGCAATTCTTAAATCTTTACTTTTGAGCGAGTAGTGCGGATAAAGCAGTAGTTTGGTGATGGATATATAATATGTATAATATATGTATTTATATCATATGTATATACTTATGGTCAGAGCTTTGTGGCACTGCATGTTTATAGCAAAATTATACTAGCTTCAGTGGTAATCCATTTCTATGTAAAAGTAACCTAAATATGGGTGAAGGTCGGATTTGATTATGTAATATGATGAGAAAAGGAACACCAGTGTAGCTTTGCTGTGACAATTGACAAAAAAAATAATTACAGAGGCTGGAAGCCAATGTTTTCCCGTAGAATATGAGTGGATTCACTTGCAATCTGGCATTTCATGTTGCATTATTGGGTTCCGGTAGTATCTTTTAGGAACTTTTACGCAGGTTGCAAACTTTTCTCATATTATGTATTTGTTGCAGAGCCAACCAAGTACTGTCACAAATGAAGTCTTCATTTGGGGCAAATAATTGCCACTTGCTGTGTATAAACTCGTCTCAAGAAGGTTCAGTTGAGCATCAAGAAAACCCTTGGGCGGGTTTGGTAAGCTTTTCTTTGTTTAGACCACTCCTTTTCCATCTATGGTTAGGGCCTGGCATTCATATATTAGTGAGGTTTTCTCATGTAAAAGATTTGGCTAAGGCTTGTGCTTATCTCCTGTGACAGAAAAATGATGTGTCCACTGTTCAGAAGCTTGGTTGCTTCCTTAGTTCAGAAGATATGAATGAGGTAGGCTGAAATCTCCTACTATCCAGTGGCTGACTAAGTAAAGATTTCTAGTTTGAGATTGTTTCATGAATTTGAGAACTAAATGTGTACCTTTGTTTCGACATTCACAGTTAAAAAACCTTATGCAAGACATGTCATCCAAACACATCATTCCCTACATGGAGCAAAAAATACGAGCTTTAAATCAGCAGGTGTGGTTGTATAACCTCTGGGACCTTTTCTCTCCAGCTTTGTCTAGCACTGACCACATTCTTATTGCCCTAGGTTTCTGCAACAAGGAAAGGCTTTAGAAATCAAATAAAAAACTTATGGTGGAGAAAAGGAAAGGAAGATGTGCCAGATAATCCCATTGGCACAACGTGAGTAATATTATTCGACTGCTTTCTGTCGAGTTCATGCAAATGTTTCTATTGAGACCTAATTTGTTTGTCTACTTGCTTTTGAAGGTACAATTTTAACTCCATGGAGTTTCAAATAAGACTTTTGGGGGACTATGCATTCATGCTACGCGATTATGATCTTGCCTTCTCAAATTACAGATTGATTTCAACCGACTTTAAACTTGATAAAGCTTGGAAACACTATGCTGGTGTTCAGGTACTTATTCTCTCATAAACCTAGTAGATTTTGTTTTTTCTTTTTCTTTGTGTGTGTGTGTGTGTGTGTGTGTGTGTGTGTGTGTGTTTGTGCGCGTGTGTGTACTAGATTAGCAGCTGGAACATATGATTTTGGTACCTTTTTGAAAACTAAGCATCATGAGTAGGTCCATAACTATAGGTTATTGGAAAGAGTATTTGTTTCTTGTGGAAGTTTGTCAAGTTTTAGTTCTTGGGTTCTTAGAATTATGACTTCCACAACATTATGCTGATTAAATCTTGTACACCTTCTTCTCATGCGAAGGGTGCCCTTTTCCAGGAATTGTTTCAGTTTTTCCGTCCCAAAGCACTAATCCCTAGATTATTTTCATCGTGGCCTGATTGAATTTTCACATCCTATCTGTATATAAGCATCTAAGTACTGTTCTTGGCTGATCATTTTTTTCCTTAAACTTGAAGTAAACATGGTGATTAGAAATGTGAAATATATGATCAACATTGATGATCGTTGCCACTTTTGTTAGTGAAGTAATGTACACAGATGGGCAGTTATCTCCATCTCTTGGCAGATGGAGTTTGGCTAGCCTGATTATGGGCTGATGCTCTATTTGAACAATAGAGGAGTTTGCTGCTATGCCTGCCTGTCCATTGCCAGTTTTCTGTCTTGGTAGATGGAATGACCTGATTATGGACTTATTAATCTAACTGAGAGAAGAGAAAATAGCCATGTCTGCCTAGATATATGGCATTAAACTGACAACAACTTCTAAGAAAGTAATACGGTGGTGAATCACCAATACTAGATGGCTGTATAAATGCGATGCTTCATCAGTTTACAGGCATACTCTATTCAGCTGGAATGTTCTGTTATGTTGATTTTAGTTAAATATTCATGGTTCCAAAAAATTAAAGACTGAATCAACCACCTAGGAATTGTATCCATTTGCTATGGATATTATGTTGTGTTAAAAATTTATAGATCATAGTGGTCATCATAATCTCCTTCCATGTTGAGGCAATCCTCTTTCTGTTTTACGCAAGAGTCATTGCATCTTAAGCTGACTTTGAGAGAGAGATTGCATCTTATTCGCCTCTTCGTATATCAAATGGATGCACAAAAAAAGAGAAATATTTTAATGAGAATATTCACATGTAATTTAAACAGAGCCAGGACCCATTCAAGGCCATTTTATATCAGTCATACTTTATTCACTTAAGATTTCTTACTGTTGCTTTGCAATCAGTGAACACTGGCAATAGGTGCCTAGATGCCATGTTTATAAATCAGCACCGTTGGCTTTATTTGCAGCATCCTTTACCATACATCAATTTTGTAGGAAATGATGGGACTATCTTACTTCATGATGGATCAACAAAGAAAAGATGCTGAAAATTACATGGAAACTGCATTTAGCACATATTCTGTAAGTTTGGTTTTGTTTTGAGAATCATTCCTTTTAAGTTAGGTTGTTTTGTGGTAAAGCTTTTGTCATGACTCGATCCGTATTGTTCTATCTAGAAATTAGGTTCATCCGGTCAACGAAATGCGACACGATGTGGTCTGTGGTGGGTGGAAATGTTGAAAGTTAGGGATCAGTATAAAGATGCCGCCAGTGTTTACTTCCGAATCTCTGGTGAGGTAATCGCTCTTGTTTGTTTTAACAAAGTCAACGGTTGTTTTTATTCTGTTCTGATATGAGTTTTTTACAGGAACCCTTGCATATGGCTGTGATGCTTGAGCAAGCTTCTTATTGTTACATTTCGTCATCACCACCTTCCTTGCGAAAGTATGGCTTTCATCTCGTTCTGTCAGGTGATCTCTACAAGAAATGTGATCAGGTATTCACCAGTTTGTTAATGAGAACTTGCAAAATCAGCTTTTTACAGTGTCGTAAGGTTATGCTTTTGCCTTTCCAGATAAAGCATGCAATCCGCACATATAGAAGTGCTCTTTTGGTGTTCAAAGGAACTACATGGAAACATATCAGGGATCAAGTGCATTTCCATATTGGAAAGTAAGTTATATGCTGCCTTCAAATTTTCAGTTTAAAATAAATCTCTTTTAATTTGTGACAGTCATATCTGGAATTCAGGTGGTATGCTTTTCTTGGGCTATTTGATGTGGCTGTTGAACATATGCTGGAAATATTGGCCTGTGGTCATCAGTCAAGGTCCACACAGGAGTTGTTCTTAAGGGATTTCTTCCAAATAGTGCAGGTCTTTGCCTCTACTTCCTTAGGATTAAGTTTCATATATTTAGATAATTTGCAAATGAGAATAGTTGGAGAGGTAAGTATTGTGTAGTCTGTAAGTTTTTTGAGTTGTTTGGGCCTTAAGTTTTCTTCCTTCTGTTGAAAGTGAAAGCCAGGTAACTATGTCAAAGTTGAGATTGGAGGGCTAATCAATTTGTGTTTAGGTGTTAGTAATTTGTACTGGTTGACTCATCTATGCTTTATAATAATCTTTAATCTTTCTTCTCAATCACTTACAAATTGATGTTTGATGTGTTAATAATGACGTGTACCTAGAACACTTAATGAAGGACAACTGTAAGCTCTCCTGCATGTAGCTGCAAAAATTCTCATCAGTCCATGTTCTTTAGCACTTATGTTTGATTGGAGACGGGATCTACGTACAGAAATTTTAAAATCTTTTGATTCTCTTCATAGTGCAAAATTATGCTTTACTGTAAAAAACCGAAGCAAGAAGGGTTTGAGAAAGAGGCGATACTGTGTTTTTGTGCCATTGGGACAAAAAAATAAAAAGAAAAATTTAGTGGCTTGCTTGAGTGTTTTGACCCCCCGTCCACGTATATAATCTCATCTCTGAAAGATCTCTTTTTTCTTCTTTCCAATTTTTCTCCATGTAGAAAACAGGGAAGACGTTTGATGTACCAAAACTTCAGTTGCCTGTCATAAACATCAGTTCGCTGGAGGTTTTCTTTGAAGACCATCGAACTTATGCATCAGAAATGGCTGTATGTTCCCCTCTTTTCCTTATTCAGGGTTTCAATTTGCAACTGTGTTTCGTGGTGTACCTTGTTAGTTAGCATCTCTTACCTATTTCTGCTTCTTGTTTCATTTTTATTATATGATTTCTGATTGAGTTTCAGTCAGTGACTTTGTTGCTACATTGCAAGTGTCATTCTAAGCCTGATAGAGAATTAAATACTTGAGACAAATATAACATCGACCTTATGTCAAGGAAGTAGTGTTGAACACGGATATGTATATTTATGATTCAGATTGTTAATTGCAGTACGTTGACTATTGTTTGCTTTTAACTTCTATTCTAGCTTTGTGAAAATGACAATGTTCAGCCAAAATTTTGAGGATTCTATCCTACTAAGAATTTATTGCAGCTGTGGGGTTTATGTAGCGGTTATATTCCCTCTGAGGGTTTTATATCATATATCTAGTAATTTGTTGGCTTGAAGAGGATACACTATGTGTGATTGGAGATCATTTTGCTTTTTGTGATATATGTCTAATTGGCACCTGGGTTTTTGTTGGAATCCTTTCTCGTCATCTGTCCCAATACAGTTTTGTTGCCTTCATGTCCCAATTTTTAATATTTCCTTGAAATGGAATTAAAAGATGAGAAATTTCATCCTTTTAAACATTTTAGTCAAGGAGAAAGCTACAGTTTCCCATGTTCCTCGATATATCTAGATTTTTGTGACCAATGCAGTGGCTTATAATGTTTTTAAAAGACTACATAAACTTATAACCCTCGATTTCCGGTCAAAACTATAGTAATGAGCTTGTGACCAAGGCTCTTTTGTCGGTGTTTGCTTGTTTTGTGATTGGTGATTGGAAGGTTGAAAGCTTATAAAAGTTGATTAATTATGTTGATCAGGAAAATTTCAATGAATGGAAGAATAAAAAAATAAATTAATGGTTCCCTTTGTAATTATTGTATTTTTTTGATTTACAGGCTAGTGTTAAAGAGGGTTTATGGCACTCGATGGAAGAAGATATGATTCCTTCATTGTCATCTATGAAGAGTAACTGGTTGGAATCACATGGCAATAGCTTCCAGAGGAAACATAAAGAATCGAATGTATGTGTTGCTGGAGGTATGATTTCTATCTGAGCTTGTGATTCATTGATTGTGGGAGGAATCTCAGGTTGGTTTATGAAATCGAGGCAACGATGTAAATATGCTTGTTGCAGATTTTTCAGTCCTGGAACTCTAAGTTCAGCTTATTTTAACGTCATCTTTTGACTGAATTTTGCTTTTTCACACCTAATATTCTCCTTCGTTTTCTTTCTTTTTCAGAGGCAATTAAGGTCGATGTTGAATTCAAAAACCCACTGCAAATTCCAATTTCGCTCTCTGGTGTTGCCCTGATATGTGAGCACACTCCAGTATCTGATCAAACGAGTCCTGGTAGGCAACTTTGTTTTTTTGGTAAATTGTACTAAGTGCTTTCTGTTGAGCTACCTTATTTCTTAATTTTGTATGCCCGGATGTCTCTATTAATTTTCTAAGCTTATTTAAGTACAGCAAGCCATACATAGGTCCGGGTTGGTAATTTCATTTGATTCATTTACTACTTCAGTAACTAACAACTTTTACTCACCTGCAGGTTTGAGTAGTTCAGTTGGCAACACGGAGTTGAAAAAGCCAGTCACCGATGAGTATGCTTGTGAACCTTACTGATTTATTCAATATTATATTCAGTGATTTTGGTGGGGAAAAAATCTGTACTCTCACCTCTGCTTGAAATTGTCTTTAATTGCTGAAAAAAAATGTCGTTCACAGGAAGTACAACGCCGCCACTTCTTCATTTCTTGCCTCTGAGACTGATTTACAACTCGGTGGTGGGGAATCAATTCTGGTGAGATTAATCTTTCATGTTTTTGTGTATGAAATTATCATGGACCCTAGAATCCTAGACAAGGCAACCAAAGGCACTGTAGAATATAGAGCCTTAATCTTTTAGCTTTATTTGCTCCCTAGGTTGTCCTTGGACCATCCTTAATTTGTTTTCAGAAATCTGTAAAACTGTTTTGTGGGTCACATGTATTTTCTGTAATATTTTTTACTCGAGCAGGTCTTATTATTCCTGATACTGCTTTCGGAGAACTATTGAGTTTTGAGTTGTATGTTTAGATTGAATGATGGAGTATCTTCTTTCTGGTTTATTTTCCAGGCACAACTGATAGTCACCCCCAATATTGAGGGCACTCTTGAAATAGTCGGTGTGCGGTGGAAACTTTCTGGTTCTGTTTCTGGATTTTGTAGATTTGGCTCCGACCTTTTCAAAAAGAAAGTTCCCCGGGGAAGAAAGAAGTCAAGAAAATCTTTCAATTATCTCAAGTTCTTCGTGATCAAGGTATTTCCTCTCTCATCCTTCTGCTACTAAAGTGAGTGAGATCCTTGATTTCCTTACTTTACAAAGGGAGTTTGAGTCTCACTGACCCCTCTTTATATGCCCAGTTTGTGATGCATTTTGCCCCTGATCTTTTTCCTATTTGTGTGGGATTACTGTCTACTTCCTATAACATTATTCATGTCTTTACTAATCCAGAATCTTCCCAAGCTGGAGGGTATCTTGCATCACATACCTGACACAGTTTACGCTGGGGATATGCGGCGCCTCTCTTTGGAATTAAGAAATCCATCTAATATTCCTTTGAAGGTACATTTATGAGCATAAGAATACATGAGCTGGTTCTATAAATTTGCAAAGAACCACAGCTATGGTCACCTAGTTTACAGATTTTGTTTCCTAATTGCACATTAAATATTTTAGCTGAACAAAATAATCTAATGCTTGACTTCTTTTCTATCACATAGTCTATGAAAGTTGAAGTGTTAGGGCCCTGTTTGGCTCAGAGTTAAGCTAACTGCTAATTTCATATGATATTTGGAACTAGACGGACAATCTGCTACAGAGTCTAGCTAGCAGTACTGATATTAACAGACATCTATTTTCATCCGGGAAACAATGAGACCAATTATGGATTATCAAAAGACTTTCATTTTTGTGGCAATAATTCTTTATAAAAAATGCCATTCTCTCTCTCTCTCTCTCACACACACACATTGGAACTGGTAATATTTACATGATCATAAGTTAGTTATTAGTATTGTATTCTAAAACTGATTGCTCTTCAGAAGTACTTCTTTTTTCCTTTCCTTTTTCTTCTTTTTTGTACGTTGCTGGGAAATTATTTAAACCTTATAGCAGAGGGGGTTCAGAAGAAATTTTTAAGTTATAAGATCTTAAACCTAAAGTATCCATCTTGAAGAACACAATGGCTAAAATATGACCCACATGGCCGGGTTTTGGCTTTGCTGTCATGTCTACTGTCGGTGCATGTTCTTGGCAATCAAATTTTGGGAGTAGTTGCCAAGTCTGTTAAGTAACTTGTACACTGAAGCCTTTTCTTAGTTGTGCATGTTCTGACAGATATTGCATAACTTGCTGTTTAATTTTTATCTTAATTCCCTGTTGTCTGGGCTATGTTCTCATTAATGCCGAATATGCTGGAAAGGATTAAGTTTTGTTCTTTTTTCTAATCCCTGGAATGCAATATTTTTCCAGAACTTGAAGTTGAAGGTTAACAATCCAAGATTTTTGAATGTTGGAGACCAAATTGACATGCAAACAGAATTTCCTGTTTGCCTGGAAAAGAGGCATAGTGGTACAGAAGGTCATGTAATCATGAAGACTAAAGCATCACATTCCGTTTTTTCATTTCCACAGGTCAGTGTGAAGCATTAGTTGTTTGGCCCCACAATCGAGGTCAATGTGAGGGATCTTGTTTAATGTATTTATTGTCTTGGTGTTTTAGAGCATGGTTGTTTGCGGGGATTCTCCGGTTCAGTGGCCTCTCTATTTTCGGGCTGCTGCCCCTGGAAAACTTTCTTTGTACGTAACAATATATTATGAGGTGGGCGATACATCAAGTGTTATGAAATATCGTGTTCTACGTATGCATCACAATCTAGAGGTATTATTCATTTTCTGTTGAACTAGTGATTGCTTATATAAAGCCTATATGAAATTAATTCAATGACATAGCTTCTTTATTACAGCTGTACAATTTATCAGCTTTAGGTTTAATGCCTGTTATCACAATTGATATAATATAGGTGCTTCCTTCGCTGGATTTATCCTTCCATATAAGCCCTAATCCATCAAGATTGCAAGAATTTCTTGTGCGGATGGACATAATTAACAGGACAAGTTCCGAGCATTTCAAGGTTCACCAACTATCTTCTGTCGGAAATGATTGGGAAATCTCATTGCTTCAACCAATGGATTCTGTCTTTCCTTCAGACATTTTAACCGCTGGTCAAGCACTATCTTGCTTTTTCAAGCTCAAGGTTGGTAACAAGTTCCATACTTAGTAAGATACTTCTGCCAATTCATCATGATGCTTCTTTTATTTCTTTTTCTTTTTCCCCTTTTTTTACTTTCAATGCAAATTTGTTTCTCTATAACTTTCAAACTCGACCTGCTATTATTATCTCACAATTACTCTACTCAATCTTTATTTTTCTTCGCATTGCTCATCTTTTCTTAGCCAGCACCCATCACATTTAGTCTTTATTCCATTACATATAGAATCTGCTCTACGGATCATATTTTCTCATTGTGTTCTATCAAAGAGTTATGTTCTCATCTATGCTGAAATTTTATCCTGTCTTTTAATAGTTTCTTCCCAATTCTGGTTTGATATTTCTCCATCCTATTAATTGTGGTTTGATGATTTCTTCCTTTTGACGTGCAACATAATTTAAGTTAGTAAAACTTCATTTAGCATTCAGTACTAAGGTTATCTTGTCTAATGTGCCCCCTGTATCCAATTTAACTCTCAACTTTGCTACCTCATTTTATCATTTCTGCAAATAATATTTATCCTGCATCTAGTGCTCTGCTTGCCTTTTGAATAAATTGTCATTTTCTTCCTTTCTTTCGGCGGCTTATTCATTGGCTGTTAATGTCCATGGTTGCTTCCTCTATCCTCGAAACTTCTTCATGGAGTCTTATAGTTATTGGTTCGTATTCATCTTATGTATGTCTTTCCTGTAATGTGTTGCCTTCTTGATCGTTGAAGCTGCAGGATTGTAGGAAGTGGGAAAATGGTGAAGACAATCCCTCTTCTATCAGGACTTCCGAGAGAGCAGACATTAGGTTAATCCATGACAATAATGAACGGCTTTTCGATATATCGAGGTCACCTTTAGTCGATTTCCACCAATACGAAAGAATGCATCAGAGACCATCAGATCAGGTGAGTCTCTAGGATGCCGGGAGCCACGATGTGGCAATTATAACTAAAATGTTGTTGAATTTCTTCGCATGAGATGGGCGCATTAGTCATATTAACAAATTTCTCCTTATTCTTTTGATGTCTGCATAGGGAGGCACCTCGTACATAGGTTGGATATTTTGGAGGCTGTATTTTCTGATTGCTTCATCAAACTTGTTCTCTGAGATTAGTCTTCATATGATTACGTTTGTAACTTACAGCAGATAAATATTAAATACTTGGATATGCGTAGATGGGTTCGTCTCCTGTTAAAGTGCCATTTACCACTGATATTTGTAACCTCACTATAAGTGTTTTGAGAAGATCCATTTGCAGCTTCTTTCCTTTTCACCCAATTTGGAAAAGAATGTGGCTACCTATCTCTTATCCTTTTGACTTTCTCGGAGTTTTAGATCCTTAACCAGGAAAGTGCGTTAATCTTGTGGTTGATATCTTTCTTTTTTGTCTGGATCAGGATGATCAAATTTCAGTTGACTTCATAGTGTTGTCCCAGTCACGCGATGACAAACAACCTGCTTCAAATCTCTTCTCTCATCATGCTTGCCATTGCAGGTACAACTTATGAATTCAGTTCTATCTTATGGACCAAACCCTGTTGTCGTGTTCTCTTCTTGTTGATAGGTTTACAGGAAGCACCTGCTCACGTGTGATTAAATGCTCTTTTCCATTTGATATTTTGGTCATATTATTGAATTCTGTTTCTTCTTAACAGTGTTTCCAGTGCAAGTCCCATATGGTGGCTGATTGAAGGCCCTGGAACTATCAGGCACAATTTTGCTACGGATTTCTGCGAAGTAAAATTGAAAATGACTGTCCATAACTCTTCCCGCGCCACTGCATTTGTGTACATAAGCACACAGGATTCCCCGAATATCAACTCCATAAGCAGCACGGGGGCTTCTGTTTCTTCTGCAAATGAAGCTGGCTGGCATGAGTTAACTATGCTAAATGAAGTTAAGGTGACGTCTGACCTTACTGGAAGCCGTATTGGGAAGCTGCTCTCACCAGCATCTGTTGCTCCGTTCATTTGGTCTGGTTCAAGCTCTAGTCGTGTCAAACTTGAGCCCCTATCCTCTACCGAGGTTACTCTCCAGATCTGCGTTTTTGCTCCTGGCACGTATGATGTATCAAACTACTCGTTGCACTGGAATCTAGGTCGAGATGACAAAGGGGCTGGATTGACACCGTCGTCTGGGACATGCCAGGGTCACACGTATTATGTGACAGTGTTGCAACAAGATTGAAAGTTTTGGATAGTTACTATACGAAACTGTCATACAGAACAGTTTCACATTTCTGTACCCTTATATCACTGGCAGCATTTAATTTTGCAATTACCGATTGGCAAGAAAGAAGAAGAAAAGCCATTTTACGGGGGAAAGGAGTTGTCTTAGGGTCGGGCAACGGTGTTTGATCTGAAGTCACTTTTTAAAACTTGAACGCATATTGTCTTTTTCTTTTCATACAAAACATTATCAAAATATCTCATTCCCCATAAGTTGCCAGCAAACTTGATCACTTAGTAGTATCAGTGAACAGCAGCAGGACAATGATAAATTGCAAGTTGATGATGGCAGAGCATCTTCTAGTTGACTGTATTTCTTGAGATGGGAACGCCATTTGGAGTACTATTTTTTTTACTGTATTTATGAGATGGAAACGCCATTTGGAGTACTAATTTTGCGTACAGCAATTAAATAATTTCCCTGGAATAGTTCCAAAAAGGCAGAATCTTTATAGATTCTTCACCTGCGATAAGTAAATTCCAAATGTGTGATCTTTCAACTACAAATTGAGGAAATGACAAATAAGAGAAGACGCCAGCCAGCTTGATGGTTGGCTTCATGTAGTGGGAGTATTGTTTAAATAAAGAAGAAGGGAAACAAAACGGGAGGATCAGTGATTATGGCGGAACATTAGGAAGAAGCCAAAAGATAGTCACGAACAAGAGTTTAGTTGGACTGATGTGGAAGGATCAGAAGAAAAGGAATTAAATACTCACATAAATTGTGATTCTAAATAACCTTTTTATGCCATAAAAGGGCCTTTTGTTTTCCCCTAGAGAAAAAAAAGTTGAGTTATATATCCAGTAAATTTGCTGAAAAGCAACTAACTCCCATGAAGAACAGTCAGCTTAACCAAATGCAGCTAGCAAAAGGACTTAAAAAAAAATCAATCATACACTAGCAAAATTTTGAATTATATAAATTCCAACCCGAAGTATCAACAGCATCTAAAACGGTAGCAGTACCCCCCACCCCCACACACACAAAACCACGTACACGGTACATCACCCTTCCTCTCAATCTCCATCCTATAACGACAACTAACCTAACTTTGACCCTTTCAAAAGAAGTAAATCGGAAATGAATACCACCACTTGACACAGAAAATTCTGAATGTAATATTCCATTTTTGACCAAAAGAAAAAACTCAATACAGTATGGATCATCAAACCAAAAAATTTTAAAAAATAAAAATAATATAGTACGAGAAAACCAAAGTTGACCGAATCTCATCATTTCTTCCATGGCTGGATGGAAAGAACAACAATCAAGATGATGATGAGGAGGAGGATGATAGCAAAGCAAGTCCATTTCCTGGTATTCTTCTGATGCTTCCTGGCCGTCTCAAGTTGCTGTCTTCCATCCGAAACAAACGAACTCGCCCTTTGAACCGCGCTCTCAATATCATCAATCTGAGCCCCCTGAGTCTTCACCAGCACATCCATATCCAAGAAAACCTGATGCAATTCATTCAAATTCCTCTCAATTTCCTTCACCGCGTCGTGCCTTTCCTGAATTTCCATAATTGTATCCATAATTTGACCCCTGCCCTGCTGCTGAATCGCCTTCTGCAAGAATGTTTCACTCTGCCCTGTTGAGATTAACGAATCCAGTACGGCCTCATCTGGGTTTTCTCCGGTGACGGTGTAATACCGTCTCTGAACAGTTTCTCGGTACTCTCCGGCCATTCTCTGGCGCAAATCGGTGAACTGATTCATCTGATCATGAAGCTTTTTCCTCAGCCCGTTGACTACAGAGGTCCGGGTACGATCCGATGAACTTCCGGGTCCGCAACCGGGGATGCTCCGGTTAGCGGCGTTGGACCGGTCTAAGGCTTCCAATCGGACCTTGATGAACTTGGCCTTCTTCAGTGACAGAGAAACATCGTTGTCCATCTTGGACCGGAGGTCTTTAACGGCTTTGGCGTTGTGCAGAGTCTTGCTCTGTTCGTGGGCGGCCTGAAGCTGGCCGTAAAGGGTCTCCAGGTCATTGAGTTCCTCTTTAATGGCGTCCACGTCTTCGAAGAACTTGTCCAGTTTGACGCCGTTGGTGTTGCTCATCTCAATTACGTGGGATTCCGGCGGCGGAGATTGATCTTGGTTGCGGAACCGAGAGAAGGAGCCTGAGAAAAGATCGTTCATTTCTTCTGGCTTTACTACTAGTAGGACTATATAATCAAGGAAAAAAAAAAGTGATGGGATCAGACGGTGATGATCCGATCAGCGATGAATGCGGGTTAGGTGAGAGAGTTTATGGGCTTAATGAGTTAATGGGACCTTTGATCCTTTTGTCGGGTGAAGCAAAAAATAAAATTTTTTGTTGGTTGGGTTTAGATTATTTATACTACTAGCTAGGATTAGTTCAAAGGAAGGGAAAATATTGGAAAATAAAGAAGGAGATGAAGAAGAAGACTTGCTTCTGATAAAAGAAAGAAAAATATGAGGGAGGGAAAAAACGCGGGGGCGGGGACTGGGTGAGATTCTTCCCAATGGCGGCCTGGTCTCTTCTCCTATAGGCTATGATTATAACATTGTTATATAATTACTGAATATTCATTGAATTAAATTGATAATGGTGGGGGGTATTTGAAGAAAAGACGGGTCAAAATGAAGTCACTTTTATTGATTAAGTTCGTGTTGAACTACTCTTTTCTTCTGTAGTCTGTACTAATATATATAACTATTATAGAAAGGAAAAGTCAAAATGATGTTTCTATAAGTTCGTGTGTGTGTGTGTGTGTGTGTGTGTGTGTGTGTGAAAGAGGGAGAGAGGAAATGTGATGGAAGGTGAGAGAATGGGCATTGGAGTATTGGACAGGAGGCGAATTGGTCATCAACTCAGTCACAAAGTCGTCGTAGGTAAAAGTAGTCACGGATGATTAATCTAAACGTTAACTCATTCTTTAAAATGAGGTAAAAGTTAAAATTTTACATGGTTGATAATCAAGTACTACAGCAGAACGGCAATTTTGCATTCGTTCTAGTAGGTGTGTGTGTGTGTGTAAATTAAATTAATTATATCTGGTTTGAGATTCATTATGAGCTTATTAACGCGTTGACGACTCTTTTACCAAAATGGAACTATCCATCTTAATGCGTAAGAAATGCTTAATTAATATGAGAAGAGCGAAACTTCCAGGAAAGACATCTTCCCGTAGTGGTCATATTAAAACCATCATATTCATTAATTAAGTCCAAATTTTAAACATTCCACCAACCAAAGAGTAATGATAGTCCTAGAAAGGACAACAATGTACATATATAATCTTAAAAGATCACCATTTCAAGCACCGAAACAGATTTCCTCTCAGAGTTTCTGACTCTTTGCAACTGAAATTCTTGATGAGCTGATCATCCCAGAACTTGCATTTTCCTCTGAAGTTGAATATCCCTCTACTTGCTTGATTCCCCTTATTAGCTTCCACTGGCGGCAAATCTCTCAGCTCGTTTTCTATTGTCAGAACAGCAAGAGCACATTGCGCAATGCTATCCTTTTTCGGTCCGAAGAAGGCAGTTGTCAACAATGTAGTGCTTTCGGTGCTCATTATCCTGTAACAGGCGAGTTCTAACATTCTGCGATACTTTGGGCCATGAATACTCTGCTGGGAAGCCAAATTCGGGACTTTCAATAGCTTTGGAACCATGTACTGCTGCGGTATCCTCACTACACAGATACAACTCAATACGGCTAAGGCATGGCAGCAAAGAAGTCCAGTTTTCTCAAACTTTCTGCAGCTGCACTTGACCGTCCCGTCTCTGGCTTCTGCATGAACCTTTTGGATGTCAACACGTCGGTGTCTGTGAACTTGAAATTCGTATACAAGTCCTCTCCTATCGACTCCTCCAAACTCTACGGTCGTGATGAGATATTCAGACTTCCTGTACTCGTCTCGGAACAAGGAATAAACCCCAGAAGTGAAAATCTCTTTAGCATGCCTCAGAATAGGTAATCCAAAATGATTCCCTTTTGAGCACATTTTGTTAGCCTCAGTTTGGTGCCAGTAAGGTGAGGTACCAGCTTCTTCAGATGCATTTGTCCTTCTACCTAGTTCACTTCATCACAGAAAGATAAATGATAATGACCCAGTCAATACAAATGGTGCAACTTTTTAGGCTATATCATCCTCACCTCATCAATTGAACTACTGGATGAGAATCCAAAATATAAAGGGAAATGAAAATTTTTCCCCATTCCTGTAAAAAAGAAGGATATACCAAAGGCCAGAAAGACAATCTAGGAGTAGTATAACAAAGCAAATCATGATATAAGGTCGTTTGCTTGCAAGTCATGAAGGCTCAAGTAATGAAAGGCAATCTGAAGTAAAACAAAAAGGCAATCTTACCCGCTCAAACAGTCATCAAGAGATGGCCGAAGTTGCCTTCTCTTAGAGAATTGTTCTTCAGTTGAACTCTGATGCCAACTTTTCAGTCTCCACTTTGGTATATATTTATCGGGGATTTGCTTGATATGAAAGCACTCGAGAACTACTAAAGCGTGACTGCACAGCATGCCAGTGACAGCAAAGTGATTGCAGCAACAGGTAACTACACCGTAAAAAGGTTCTGAATGTACTTTGTGAGAATGGTTTTGATAACATCCCATCTTCTCAATCGTATACTTGAATTCTAATCCTGTCTCACCGTAAGCCTCAGGGTAGATGGGCCTAGACTTCTCATATTCGTGACTAAACCAGGAAAAACTATCTGGAGCAAAAACTTCCCGTGCATGACTCAGTAAGGGATCATCATCCATTTCATCTTCAGCATCTGAGACAGTACCACTTACAGCAGAAGAAGATACTAGGTTAACAAACACTAAAATCAGCAGAAGTCGAGCTACTAACTTAAGGAAAATATTCAACTTTTACATCTAAACACAGCAAGAAAATGTGAAAAGACCAGTTCAAACATCTGATGTAGCATCTCTAACAGCAGAAGAGGAAATTAGGTTAACAAACACTAAAGACTACTAATCCAAGGAAAATATTCTACTGTTTACATCTAAACATAGCAAGAAACATGCTGACAACACGAGTTCAAATTAACTATCAACTAAAGAGTTGGCAGGGTTTGATTTGAGGTCTGTATGCCACCAACTTACTCAAGATACGAGCTTAAAACTCTATTTAGAAGCAACTCATTACTTTACAAGATTGCTTCTTCAAACCGGTTACAAAACTCGGTATGAGACCATTTCCTGGCAAAAGCAGTAAATATATGATTCCCAATTTTGAATAGGTCTGACCCAAAGGAAAGGGAAACTCCAAGAAGGTTATTGTTCTAGCTGAATCATATTATTCCGCTAATGGCTACTTTCCCACAACCAGGGACCAACTTAAGGCACGATGGATACAACGTCAGTGGCTTCTCCTGGGGAGATATCACTACATCTATTGATATTTCGCTTCCAGTTAATCTCATATTCTAAAAAGACCGTACCTAGACCACAGATCAAATAGAAACAATGATCAGGAAGCATAAAAAAGTTCCAACAATGTAAACGGTCCTCTCTCTGATAGATAACAGATGTTTTATCCGGAGTTTCTTATGTAGATAAACTTAACAAATAACTTACTTCTCCTCGTCGTCATCTTCAGATTCTTCATCAACTTCCTTGTCATCATAGTCCTCGTCCTCGCCATAGCTATCATCACCATCATTTTCTCCATTGTCCTCTTCTCCATCTTCATCACTAGTATCATCTTCATAAGACTCATCGTCATCTTCTCCATCCTGGTCACTAGCACCATCTTCATGAGTTCCATTATCATCTCCTCCATCAGTATCATGCCACTCTCCACCAAATGTGCCGCCATTTTCACCATTAGCATCTGGATGATTGCGACCGGCATCATCATTAATGCGATTGTCATCCACACTTTCACCTTCTGCTTTCTTTTCTTTTCTAAGTGACTTGAAAGGAAAACTATCCACCACCCAACAAGTCCCAGAAATAAAAGCATGCAAATAGGCGATCCCAATAAGTAACCTTTCTGATATAATGGCATTCTCCAGAACAAGTGCTTCCATAACAGAGCGGAAAGCGGTTTCAAATGTCACAACAGGTGAAAGAAACCGTGCAGCCTCCATACCTGAAAAGCTGCAGGCAGCTTGATTAAATAGCAGAGGCCAAAGTTGAAGAGATTGACATCAAACACTAAAGGTACAATCTAAAACAAGAAGGTCATACCAAAAATCATCGCGAATCAAGTAACTCCTAAAAGGTAAAATCTTTTTAAGAATTCAAAATTTAAAAAATCCCACAAATTCTTACTAAATTCAAAACTATGACACTACAATTTTATCAACAATCAGAAAAACGTCGCTTCTTATTCTTTTTTTCTTTTCTCTTGACAGAAGATGGAGATAAGAAATTGTTATTCTTTTTCAAACTTAAATTGGAGAACAGGGCTGATGAATCCGGCGCGTTTCCTTAGTCCGTATTTGATCGCATGGACCAAAACGGATTAAAAACTACTGACAGCATGATCAATGGCAACAAAATGGAGGCTAAATTGCGAACAGATGGTAAAAAAGACACCAAATCGTCACAAATTCTAGAACTGAAAGAAGTTTAGAAGAATCTAGAGAATACAAGCTGGAAGGAAGGAGATAGAACTTACTTCATTGAAGATGAACCGTGAACTTTGTCTTCCCCGCGCATTGTGAGCTTCTCAGTCGCTGTTTTTGACAAGAAGAATTGGGGGTTAAAGTTAAACGATCATAAATGATAATAATGCCATAATGGCAGAATTGCATACGTAGTCGTCTACGCCTATTCTGGCGGGAAAATGATCATGTTTGTGCCGGGAAATTAGGATTGTAATAGATTGTACTAGATGTGTGCGGGTTTAATACATATACATCTATTGAAATATATTTTTAAATTTTAAATGTGATTAATACAAATAAAGTAACTGGTTTGTAATAATAAATATATGATTAAAATTAAATTAGATCGTGATAAATAAAATTGTTATATATACTTTGAAATGACAACATTTATGCCAAAAATGTAATTAAATAATGGAATATGTATAAGGATTATATACAAATAAAAGTAAAAAAGACCACCAAAATAATAAATCAGATGTTACATGTCATATAAATCAAAGCAATTTATGTCTACACGGTTAAAAATGCATGTTAATCAAGATTGCACACAATTGGAGAAAGAGACACCTTAAATGTTAAATAAAACATTATCGAAGTGAGGTCGTCGCCGCAAAGATGTTTTGTAAAGTATATAAGATGCTTCGCTTCAGTGTTTCACCGGTTGTCATTGTACATGTTAGAGTTAGACCGAAGTGTATATTTATAGTGAATGTCTAAATGAGATATCATAACCAGTAACTAAAGTAAAATTCATAACTATGGAATAAAGATGATAACGTCACGTTGATTAAGGGATAAGATTGGTGGGGAAATGACTTCCATTACATTAATGTTGATTAGTATTTTTCAATTAAATTTGATTAGTTTTTAATCACTAAAGAATTCTCACTTTCCCGCACGTTGAATTTAGGTTTTAAATCAATCAAGTAGTGATTTTAAGGATTATTTTGTAGAAGGATTTTTTTTTTATTCGAATTGGCTGGGGTAAAAAATCCCGGTGAATTTATGTTGAAAATAATAAATGCCTTATCCCTTTGAACTTAATTAAAATCAATCAATTAATACTAATTGGAGATTATTTTTTGGAGGGATTATTTTTGGGAGGGAATAATTCTGGTGCATTAATGTTCATTAATCACGTCTATTAAATTTAATTAATTTTTATTTTCCTATTTTAAATTATAGTTTTAAATGCCATTTGATAAAATTTTATTTACATAAAATTTGAAGGACTATTAGAATAATTGTTGTAAATATTTTTTGACTCAACCAATAGAAAAATGACACATAGGATTTTATCATATATGGCACCTTTAGAATTCTTTTTTGTTTTCTTTCTCTGGTTTCTCTCTTAGTATAATACTATAGATTTTTATTTTCCTATTTTAAACTATAATTTTAAATGTCATTTGATAAAACTTTATTTACATAAAATTTGAAGGACTATTAGTATAATTGTTGTAAATATTTTTTGACTCAACCAATAGAAAAATGACACATAAGATTTTATCCTATGTGGCACCTTTAGAATTCTTTTTTGTTTTCTCTCTCTGGTTTCTCTCTTAGTATAATACTATAGATAGATTAGCAAAAATTGTGGGTATTTAGGGATTATTTTGTAGAGGGATTTTTTTTTATTCGAATTGGCTGGGGTAAAAAATCCCGGTGAATTTATGTTGAAAATAATAAATGCCTTATCCCTTTGAACTTATAATTTAAATCAATCAATTAATACTAATTGGAGATTATTTTTGGGAGGGATTATTTTTGGGAGGGAATAATTCTGGTGCATTAATGTTCATTAATCCCGTCTATTAAATTTAATTAATTTTTATTTTTCTATTTTAAACTATAGTTTTAAATGTCATTTGATAAAATTTTATTTACATAAAATTTGAAGGGCTATTAGTATAATTGTTGTAAATATTTTTTGACTCAACCAATAGAAAAATGACACATAAGATTTTATCCTATGTGACACCTTTAGATTTCTTTTTTGTTTTCTCTCTCTGGTTTCTCTCTTAGTATAATACTATAGATTGGATATTTACCAATCTGTCCATTTTCGCTGTTCCGTTATGATTTTTTAACTCTTATAAGGAAGGAAGCAAGAGAGTTTTACCACTTGATTTTTTTTTTCCTTCACACATTTCCTTTGTTAAATCATCTTTATCTTTATTTTGATATATTAGAAAAAGTTATGCAACTATACTAACAATGAAAATGAATGGTAAGACTAATGAGATGTTGGTTCAGTGGTAAAAGTAAAACTAGCATTGCTTAAAACAAAAAGAAAGAATGAACACTAAGATAAAAAATTTAATATCATAAAAACTTTAAGCATAACGGGGAAACCTACTTAACAATCAGAAAACAGAAAGTATGCTGGAAGCAAAGAAGAGAGATCCAACTCAAAACAGAGTAACCAGAAAGGAAGAAGCTGAACAAAGCCTAACTTCTGATTCAATCAAGGGGAAAAGAAGAAAGAAAACCAAAACAGCATCCCTCTCTTACTTTCGGAATTCTTGTAACTGAAATTCTTGATTAGCTGATCATCCCAGAACTTGCTTTTCCCCTGAATCTGAACCGTCCCTATTCTATCCCCCTTATTTGGGTCATCTGGTGGCAGTTCTCCCAACTCTTCCCCTAATGCATGAACACATTCTTCTAGGGTATCTTTTACCCGCCCGTAAATTAACTCGTCATGCTTACAAAGCGTAGTGCTTCCAGTGCGCTTGATCATGTACTGTGTAAACTTTAACAGTTTTTGGTACTTCGGGCCATGAATATTCTGATGGAAAGGCAAATTCTGCACTTTCAAGTACATTGGAATTATGTACTGTCGTGGGATCCTCTCTACACATAGACAACTCAATACGGCTAAGGCATGGCAGCAAAGGATTCCAGTATTCGCAAACTTTCTGCAGCTGCACTTCACTGTCCCATCTCTTGCCTCCGCATGAACCTTCCTACTGTCGACACATCTGCAACGGTAAACTTCATATTCACACACAAGTCCTCGCCAATCAACTGCCTTATGTAGCAGGGTAATAATGTAATACTCAGACTTCCTGTACTCGCTGCGGAACAAGGCATAAACCTCCGAGGTGTAAATCTCTTTCGCATGCCTAAGAATAGGTGATCCAAAATGATTACCATAGGAACACAGTTCATTATCCTCAGGTTGCTGCCAGAAAGGTGTGCAGCGATCTTCTTCAGATGCATTTATGCTGCTTTTGCCTAGTTTACTTCATCATGGAAAAAGAAATGGTTTCGGTAAGGAGACTGAAAGGAAGTGTGATACAAAGTGTAAAAATAGCCTCAGATAGTAAGTTTCTCAAGCTCCTCAGGTTCATTATAGAGCCATGATACAAAGGGAAAAGAGAAGTAGTGAGAGTCCAGGACAGTTTCCCTTTTAAATGAACAAAAAGGATTATCTACTGATGGCGCACACACCAGAAGTTTCTTGAAAATTTAACCAAAGTTGAGTATTGGGAAAAAAAAAAAGAGAGTCAAAATTGGATTTCCTGGCATTCCTTTGACAAAGAAGGAAATACCATAAGGCATGGCCAGATGGATATAATCTAGGAGTACTTTATTTAGCAAATCAAGAGGCTGAATACAAACAAGACATCCTTTTTAGAGAAAGTGAAATTGCAGTGCTAAGTAAAATTAGTAAAACAGAAAGGTAATCTTACCCACTCAAACAGTCATCAAGAGATGTGAAGAGAATATGGAAAGTATAGAAAATGTTTCTTTGATTCATAAGCCTGATCCGGATTGAGGAATCGGGTCTAGTTCATGATTCAGGCTGAGTTTTTTATATAGATATTTTGTTACGGTTTTACCCTTGTTGATTGTATAGACATAGGACTTAAGAAGCAGGGCTGTTTAGTCTTTTCTTATCAAATAAGGGAGTAAATGCTGTGTATATATGTACACATTCAGACAGAATTAATAATGGAGAATTGATTTCCACAAATCCAATACTCGAATCTTCTTTCCCAAATTGAGCTTGCTGTTTTGCCCCTATAAACCCTAAATGTTTGCCTTTCAATTCATCTAGATGGTATCAGAGCAGGTTAATCCTGCTACTGAAAACCGTTCTAGTAGTTGAATCTTGATAAACGTCACAAACCGCTTCCGCTAATTCGAAGAAATGGAGGAGATTCATTTCGGAGAAGGTTCCCGAAGAACGACGATTAGATCTGATGGAGCTCGAATTGAGCGAAGAAATGAAGATTTTCAAGATGATAGAAGTTTTTCTGAAGCTCGTAGAGAAAATTCGGCCATAAACTATGGCGGATACATGCACCCTCTGACCTTGCTTCCGTCTGATACTTTGAGTTTGTCAATCATCAATTTTCAACTGACATCAATGAATTATGTCACTTGGAGTCATTGTATGAGAAGAGCTTTAAGTTCGAAGAATAAGCTTGGTTTCATTACAGGTTCTGTGGTTAAACCTTCAGAAGAAGATCAAGATTTTGAACAATGGTGTAGAGTCAACGATACTGTGGTATCCTAGATCTTGAACTCTATTTCGAGTGATTTGCTGGAAGGATTTAATATGGCAGAAGATGCGAAGGAATTATGGCAAGATTTGAAGGATAGTTTTGGTACCAGTAATGCGCCCCAAATATATTAGTTGAAGCGTGAAATTGGTAGATTTGTTCAAGGGAATTTGAGTCTATCTGGCTGTACAAAGTTAAAGAAATTCTGGGATGAATTGAGCAGTATTGATCCACCAAAAATTTGTACTTGTCATGGATGCACCTGCAAAGCAAACAGGCCAAGTGGTGGGAAGGAAGAAAGAGATAAGCTCATGCAGTTCTTGACAGGGCTTAGTGAGATTTATCTCCCTATTAAGAATCAGATTTTGGCTACAGAACCACTTCATGCTGTTAAGAAAGCATATGCAATGGTCATGAATGTTGAAAGGCAACAACAGTTGCATATGTCCTTGGAGAATCATGTGGAACAAGGAGCATTGATGGTGCATAAACCGAATTTTCATGGCAATAATACCAATAAAAGCCATAAGCCTGGCGACAGCAACTCAGGAAATACAAATGGACAACTGAGAAACAGCTATAGCATCATTGGAAAGGAGAATGAACTTAGACTGGATAAGGCTGCAAGAAAGCTACTGAAATGTGAACACTGTGGCATCAATGGTCATCTAAAATTAGGATGCTTCAAACTTATTGGTTATCCTGATTGGTTCAAGGTATTGAAGGAGCAAAGGAATACACAGGCAGGAAGGATTTCTGCACATATGGTTGAATCACCAATTGATGAGAATGCATGCACAAAAGTTGGAGGATCTGAGGAATTGATGGACATGATGAATAACATAAAGAGGATGGAACAAGAGCTGAGCAGAATGATGAAAGGAAAAGGAACGTCTCAGACTGGTGATCATATCAACTTTGCACACTACTCGGACTTGCGGAGGGGATGAAGAGAATATGGAAAATATAGAAAATGTTTCTTTGATTCATAAGCCTGATCCGGATTGAGGAATCGGGTCTAGTTCATGATTCAGGCTGAGTTTTTTGTATAGATGTTTTGTTATGGTTTTACCCTTGTTGATTGTATAGACATAGGACTTCAAGAAGCAGGGCTGTTTAGTCTTTTCTTATCAAATAAGGGAGTAAATGCTGTGTATATATATACACATTCAGACAGAATTAATAATAGAGAATTGATTTCCACAAATCCAATACTCGAATCTTCTTTCCCAAATTGAGCTTGCTGTTTTGCCCCTATAAACCCTAAATGTTTGCCTTTCAATTCATCTAGAAGATGGCCCTAGTTGCGTTCCCTTTCTAGAGAACTGCTCCTCCATTGAACTCTGATTCCAACTTTTTAGTCTCCACTTTGGTAAATATCGATCGGGGATCTCCTCAATGTGCAAGCAGTCCATGACCGCTAAAGCATGACTGCACAGCATTCCAGTGACAGCAAAGTGATTACAGCAACAGTCGATTATACCCTCCAAAGCTTTTGTATGCACTCTGTGGGAATGGGGTTGGTGAAGTTGTCCTGACTTGGTAGCCTTATACTTGAATTCTAATCTTCTCTCGTCCAAAACATCAAGATGAATGGCCCTTGACTTCTCATATTCATGTCTAAACAAACAAAAACTATCTGAAGCATAACCTTCCCGTGCATGTTTCATTAGAGGTTCATCATCAATGTCATCTTCAGAACCTGATGAAGGATCACTATCGGCAGAAGAGTACATACAGTTTAACAAACAATGAAATCAGCAAAAGTCAAGCTACTAACCTAGGAAAATATCCTATTTGACGGTTTACTTCATAAGAAAGGCGAAAAATACGAGGAACTCCAAATTAGATAGAAAAATTAATTATACTACAAAGGCGATACAACTCACATAAAAGATATCTTAATTACTTTATCTGATGGTTTCTTTTGACATGTCACAAGACTGACTGTGAGACGTAGTACTCTTGGAAAGGCAGAGAATACCTAATTGGCTAATTTTAGGACGTTTGGCCAAAAGAAAAGGAAGCTCCAAAAAGGATTTGGTAGTTGCTAAACTATTCTTCCACTTTTAGCTTCCCCCACTATTTTCGGGCAATAACCGGCAATTTCTGGCATTATGGTTGTAATTTTCTGGTTGTTCTAAGAAGAATTTTTAGTAAGAGTAACTCTAACTACCACAGACCAAATAAACATGATTATTCACCCGGCATAAAGATAAACCCAGAAAATAACTTACAGTTCGTCGTCTTCCTCTTCAGATTCTTCATCATCTTCCTCCTCATCATATTCCCACCCATCACTGTCCTCGTCATAACTATCATCATCAGTCTCTTCCCCATCATCATCTTTACCATCTTGATCACCAGCATCATCCTCATCACTTCTGCTATCATCTCCATCATCACTACCATGCAACTCCCCACCATGTGTATCACCATTTTCACCATTAGTGCCATTACCATCACTTTGGTTGCGACCAGCATCATCATCATCATTAAACAATTGTATTCTCATCCATATTTTCACCTTCTACTTTATTTTCTTTGCCAGTTAGCTCGAAAGGTAAACCAGACTCAATCCCAAAATTCTCTGACGTTCTTGTAGTAACATATATAAGCTCGTGAAGAAATCTTGCAGCAATTTTAGCAGTTTCCAGAGCAATGCTCCCATTATAAACCGAAACAAACTCTCAAAGGTCAAATCAGGTGAAGGAAAGCATGCAATCTCCATACCTGAAACGCTGCAGTCAACAGAACCAATCATCAGAGGAATCAGTTACAGAAATTGACAAGAGGAACTAAATTGAATTCTAATGAAGAAGAAATCAACATAAGTAGTACTATTTGCTGAAAAACTGGGAAATAGTCTTTGGTTAATTTCATCAATCATCCGTAAAAAATTGCTGTTAGTTTTTGCCCCCCTCTCATAATACCAGCATTAGCCACAATTGAAGTTACAAACCGTGAACGAACCCTAATTCTCTATGGGATCCGGAATTTCCCCCCCTCAAACTCAAACACAAAAGCCCTGATTTATCATATGCCGTTAATTGAATTCCTGAGCGATCTCGTGAACCAAAATGAGTTTGACTGTAGCTGATACTAGTTGTCAACGGAAAGAATCGAAATCAAACCGCAATTGCAAACAGATACTGTATAATAAAGCAAGACAAAGTTCTCGTAAATGAAAACTGAAAAGAAGTTTGAAAACCGAAGTTTAATTGAAAGGAATAGAACTTACTTCAGTGTAGATGAAACGGAAACCTAGCCTTCTCCATTCATGGCTTACTACTGTGAAGTCGCAGTTGAAATGAATAGGACAGATGAAATGGTTAAAATGATAAGGACGAAATGGGAAAGGGCGGAGAGTGGTGGGGGGACAGAGGAAATTCCGGAAACGTGACCGTCTAATTTGGGCGGGAATATCATCAGCTCTGGAATATGGGAGTGCATTAATTAGTTTGTTGCAAGGACTTAACTATCCGGAATTAAAAACATTGTAGACTAAATATAATTAATTCTACATTTGAAGGATCAACTCTGTTATTTTCTCATTTGAAAACGCCCAATTGTAAAAAGCGCGTCCAGGAATGGGACAAAGCCCATAAAACTCGTAAAAACAAGATGATGATTTTGAGATATTCGGTGCGCTTTCACGTATTTCCTCATCCTCCTCCTCCGTTTTACTCATCGTCGCTCTGTTCATCTCTCACTTGCCGGGCGTCTAAAGCATCGTCGGCAATGTCGACCGTCCGGTTGATAGGCAAGTACCGACATAGTTTCGGCATTTTTTTTTATTTACAGTTTACAATAGCACTCAATTTTTCAATCTTATCTAGCGTCGTACTCATGCTATCTGTTTGTTTATCTGTGCAGACATAGCAGTCAATTTCACAGGTAGGATTCTACTTCTTCAATCGTCCGGGTACTCTTTCTAACTTAAGATCTTCTGATTTTGAGAGAAAATTTCGGTTTCAGATGGCATGTTTAAAGGGATATATAATGGGAAACAGTACCACGAGTCAGATATTGGTGCAGTGCTGAGCCGGGCTTGGAGTGCTGGAGTTGATCGAATTATTGTAAATACAACTTCCTGATTTTTTATTTATTTATTTTTTTAAAGTTGGACGTTATGTTTTAGTTTACATATTTCAAAACTTGATTATAGTTTCCGGAAGTGTTCTGTTGTGTGAATGTAGTTGAATTTCATCTGCTCGACTTGTTTTTAGTTTGCTCAAGTTTGCTTTGCTTTCAAGATTAATGTGGGACGGGAAATAAGAGGCTGTCCAATTGAATGAAACACAAACTGTATGTCGTTATGTCTGGTTGGTTATGCTCAGAGGATGAAGTACTTTGGCTTCATAGAAGTCATAAGAAAATAAGCCCTTCATTAGGACATTTAAAGTCTTTCCAAGTGAAAATTCTTAATGTTGGACTATCACCTCAGCCTTTTCATTTCATGTAAGGGAGCACAGAGCCAATTGTTACAATTTGATTGGAGTTGTTGACATTCCTTGTCCTGGGAAGATGGATTTTCTTTGATCATGTTAACTTTATTGGCCTAGGTGACTGGTGGCTCTCTAGAGGAATCTAAGGAAGCTCTTGCTATTGCAGAAACCGATGGTTTGTTGTTCTCATTTGTTTTCATGTTGGCTCTTTCTAAGCAATTGGCTACTAATTAAGAACTGCCATGTTAGCTAACTGGTCTCGCTTTGTTTTCTTGCAGCCAGACTTTTCTGCACAGTTGGTGTGCACCCAACAAGATGCAATGTGAGTTTTTTTTGTCTTGATACTGTTCCATATGAAGTCCTAATTTGATTAATCTGTAAGAGACAATTATGGATACATTACTTAATTTTTCCTTTTTTTTTTGTTGTTGTTAAGGAATTTGAAGAGAGTGGGGATCCCGAGAAGCATTTTCAGTCTCTTCTTTCGTTGGCTAAAGAAGGGGTTGAGAAAGGAAAGGTATGCTCACTTGCGAGTTTTATTTGGGTCGTATAGAGATATAGATTTAGACACTAATTCCAGTTGTATAATTCTTATAAATATCATGATGTCATGTGTTGAAATTTAATAGGTGGTGGCAATTGGTGAATGTGGACTGGACTATGACAGGCTTCACTTTTGCCCGCCCGAGATTCAAAAGAAGTATGTGCTTTCTTCGTAGATGATTAGCTTTGTTCCTTGCCTTTTATTTCTTGGCTTGGATGTTTCTATTAAACGTATTCTTCATAGGAAGATCTGTGATTCTTGTTCCATTTTTTATTATTTTTTTTCCTTTTGTAATGTTTGACTGATTCTACTGTTTCAGTTATCGTTTACTCTGCGATAAAGCAGGTATTTCGAGAAGCAGTTTGAATTGGCAGATATCATGAAGCTCCCAATGTTTCTTCACATGAGAGCGGCTGCTGAGGATTTTTGCAACATCGTAGAGAGAAATAAAGAGAGGTTAGTTACTGAATCTATTGAAGGGCTGTCGAAAGTATCTCTCTGTTGGTACCAATCATTCTGAGTTGTGTATACATTTAAGAGCAAGGTGTGCACTGGGGTCCATATTACTCATGAATGTGATTCCCCTAAAATTTTACTTGATGTTTTTGTCAAAATTCTAACAACTGATTTTTATACCTGACCCAGCAGAGGGGTGGTTGGCTTTTATTGCATGAAGGTCGATGTGGTCATTATTTGACAGTTAACGGCACCAATATTATGTTACGCTGGAAAATGCTATCCATTTTTTTTTTCTTGCTAACCATTTTGTCTGCAAAATCCTCTAGCTATCATGCTTCTTTGTGCTTCTATTTTTTTTGGAAAACCATTTTGACTACCCCTTTGCTCTCAATATCATCTTCATTTTGATGCCTTTAGATTCAGTGGTGGGGTTGCACACTCTTTTACTGGCAGTGCAGAAGATCGTGACAAACTTCTTCTATTTCCTAATATGTTTATAGGTGAATGTTTTTCTAAGCTCTTTCTATATTGTTTAAGCTACTGCCCTTGGGGTTTGGAGGTTTTCAAATTTCTAATTACCTATATTTAATATATTTATGGGCTTTCTTTTTCTTCTTTTTTTTTGTTCAAGGTGTAAATGGTTGTTCTCTCAAGATGGCTGAGAACATTGATGTTGTTAGGGGCATTCCTGTGGAGAGAATGATGATTGAGACAGATTCTCCTTATTGCGAAATCAAGAATACTCATGCTGGGATTAAATTTGTGAAATCCACATGGCCATCAAAGAAGAAAGAGAGACATGATCCAGAATGCACCATTAAAGGACGAAATGAACCATGCCAAGTACGGTACGTGGTAACCGTTGTTGTTCCATCCCGGAGTCAGAGTGTTCATTTTTTTTTTATCATCTATGTTAGCATCCTAACAGATTATTCTCAGAAACTTTTTTTTGATTACTTTAAGTCATATTAAGTAACAAGTAAATTACCAGTCACTTGTAGTTCTCATACAATATATACATAAAATGTTAGTATTTGAATACTGAATGTTTGTCGCTTGTATTTCCTGTACTCACTGGAAGAGAGCAAAAAATGGCTTCGTGTATAGTTCTTGGCCTTAAAGTACAAAATTAAGTAGGAAACTATATCTCACAGTTGTTCACGAGGTTATATATAAACTGTGTACAGTTATTCATGTGTACCTTCGACCTTTTGAAGTACATATTCTGGCCTTGTCCCTAAAACCCTAACTGAGTCTAGAGTAGTTTCATGCAATGCATCTCTAGTTCTTTTGATTCTTATCTCATATTTTTGCCATGATATCCAGGCAAGTCCTTGAAGTAGTAGCTGGCTGCAAAGGTATAGCTGACATAGATCAATTGAGCAAGACATTTTACCATAACACCTGCAGGTGATTACCTTTTTTTCACTTTTTTTTGGCAATATTTGTTTAAGCTCAGTTCGGGCATGTGTGTAGGAGACCGATAGAGGTCCGGGTTAGGAGGGTAGAAACTATAGAATCAAGAATTCAAATTAAAAGGGGTAGGGGTAGACTTAAGAAAACAGGAAAGAAACTATCAAAAATGACTTGAAATATTTTAATTTGTCCGATGAGTTATGCACTGATCGAGCACGATGGCGACATATGATCCATATAGCCGACTCCACCTAGTGGGAAAAAAAGGCTTCTTGTTGTTGTTGTTGTTTAAGCTTAGAATTTTTTAAGTTTTTTTCCTTTCAAAGTGTTATTTACCCTCTGCAGGATGTGGACCTTTAAACTTTGAGAATATGTGAAAGCAATATTGGAAGTTTTTACATATGTGATTTCATTAGTATTCTTTTGCCTTAATGCTCAAGAGTTTTTAGAGCGTGTCTTAGTTATTGAGCAAAGATGATTATATTACATCTGAATCATCAACAAAATTTGGTTGTTGATCAGGGTTTTCTTCCCTCAAGATGTCGACTCTGCAGCAGATGCACTTCTTCTTGGCCGTGATACTACTGTATAAAAGATTGCAAAGCTTATATTTTCACAACCAGGAGAACATTCCTTTGTCACTCTGTGCCCCCGCCCCCGGGCAGATGTAGAGAAACTACAAAAAGCAACCAATGGCCTATGATTTTGATGAAACTACTATGATGTGTCTAAGCAGGATGTAGTCAAGAATCTTTGTAGCATTCCAATTTTCTGCAGGACTCCATTTTTGTCAACATTTCGCTTCTTGCTCTAATTGGCATAGAATGATTGATGTACACGAGTTTGCAATTTTTCTCCACTGCACTCCCATAGATTGATTCATCTTCCTTCTATTTCCATAGAACAATCTTTCCATGAGAACTTGCTGGAAACATAAGAGGGGTTTTTCGTTATACACTGCAGGGAGATTATGAACCAGTTTTCAATCTTTAATCTTCTGCAATCCGTTATTATTAACTGAAACGAAAACTGCTTAACCGAAAAATTTCATAATACTCTGGCTGTTTTTGCTCGACAATTAATTAATTACCATCATAAACCCAAAGAAAATACAGAGAACTTAAGGGTGTCAATCTAACGCGGAAGTTTCCATTGGTCGTATAATCAAACATCACTAAATATTACAGTGATTGTAGAAAATGCCGCCCTGAAGAGTTCTCTTAGCCTCGTACTTCTCCTCGGAGAATTGAGATTAATATCGCTACATAATATTACTACTTTTCATCCTTTTCGAAACCTTTTAGGTACTCATAATTTCACTTCTTTTAGCTCTCTGACTCAAAATCAGGTAGATGGTGATGATCTCTGCAGTGCCAAATTCAATCTTAAAGGACGCCCTTCCAACTCCTGCAGAATTTAAACAGGAAGAGGCCGAAGAAGTAATTTACTCGGTAATATAATGTAATAGCAGATGAACCAATAAGCAAACATGAAATTGTGTAAAAATGACTAGATAAAAAGTTTAACATACCACTCCATTCATGGCATCAAGGGCCGAGTCGGCATCTTCAGCAGAAGCAAAAGTTATAAACCCAAAACCCCGAGATCTTCCAGTACCCCTATCATAGACAACCTTGGCACTCAAAAATCCTGGCTGATCTTGGAAAACTTCTTTAAGACCTTGAGAAGTCAGGCCCCAGGACAAGTTTCCTGCATAGAGCTTATGAGGACTATCTACAAAAGCTTGGTAGCTGCTTTTGATCTTTGGCTCCATGACTTCCCGTTCACCGCCTCTTGGCACTTCAGGAAAGTTTATCTTCACCGTTCTGCCTCCGACTTGCTGCTCACGTCACGAGAGTTGCATTATTAGAAGAAATCAAGAATGTCAGCCACATGTTGGCTACTAGAGCTATTTACATTCTAGACTTCCTAGTTAAACATATTATCCCAGAAGAATAGTTTAAAGTTACTCCACATCTCCCATGAACAACTAAATATTGTTTTCCACAGACTACACATCAATATACTCTATCTACTAAAGGGAAAAAGGGCAGCCCGATGCACAGAAGGTCCTGTGCTCAGGAAGGCTCCGTTCATGAAGGCCTAATAATATACGCAGCCTTATGTTATATTTCTACTAGAGACTGTTTCTGGATTTCAAATTCATGGTCTCTGGTCGTATGGCAAGTGGCAGCAGCTCATAGTGGAGCCCAAGACTCTCCCTTTTTCCATACATAAACATCCCTTGAAAATTGCTGATCTAGTATGCTTTTCTAAATTAATGAAGCCTGGCAAAAACCTCAAGATTTGTGAAAGTGAGAAAACCTCAAGATTCATAATTTGAGTAAGGTCAGCGGCATTGCAGGAATTGGTGGGGAATCTGGATGAAGACCAAGCACGAGATTCTCCTGGTGTTCTACAATAACTACTATTTTTAATCAAGTCTATGGACTCAACCCTTAGATTTTATTTCTGCCACCCATCCTGTGTAACACAGTTTGAAATGCTATAGGTAACAGGCATTAAACGAAAATTTGAGTAAATGAACAAAAGGCAATCAAGGAGACAAAAGAAGCATGGAAAAAAAACCTGTCATATCAAACAAAGACAACACTTACAGATCCATCAAACAGACGAATGGCCTCCTTTGCATCATCATAGCTCCCCATTGTAACAAATGCAAATCCACGACTCCTATCCGTCACTCTATCATAAACAATCTTAATCACAAAAGGAATGACGAAAATATCAGCATCTCATAAAAACCTTTACTCACTAGAAATCGGACATTTGAAATGATTAAGGCATGCACATCGAGGAACTGAATAAAACCATGATTTCTTCAACTCCAAACCCAAATATACATTCTTCATGAATTAAAACATTAATCAAGCTGTAAATAGACCTCAAAATTGGTTTTGCGGAAAAAAAAAGGACGAAGAAAGCACATTATCTCTACAAAATTAAAGAAAGAAGCTGATAGAGACCTCGACAGAAGCAACACGACCACATTCTGAGAAGATATCGGCTAATTGGGAAGAGGTCATTGAGAAAGGCAAGTTCCCCACGTATAACCTTCGAGCTTCCGCGGACTGAAACGCAGAAGCCCTATAGTTTTCCTTCCCTTCTTCTTCTTCTTCTTCTTCTTCTTCTAATTCTTCTTCCTCGTCTTCCTCCAGTTGTTCTTCGTCTTCGGATCCTGATTCTTTGTCAAGTAGTTCTGTAATGTTTACGGCGTCAAACCCATCAAAAGCAGCGGAAGCACGAATGAGCAAAGAACGAGATAAAAGCGTAAAAGGAGCAGACTTTACAAGGTCAGAATGTAGATTAAACTGGGAAAAATTTATGGGTTTCGTTGCTTTGAATGGGAACTGAATACTGGTGGCAATTGAAGAGTTTTCAATTGAAGAAGATGAAGGGTTCAATGATGGAGTTGCAACGCCAGTGGCCTTGGCAAAGCCCACCGATAAAGGAGAAGCTGACATTTTTGTCAGAAACGTTTCAGCTAAGGGGAAATGTTCGGGTTTCTGGGAGTACTGAAAAACGGCACTGGATGAACGAGGAAGAAGAAGAATGGGAAGATGGGATAAGGGCTTCTCCAGAAGGCGTGGATTTCAGTGGTTTAGTAAAACGGAAGTCGTGGTTCCAGTTTCTAAATTGAATTGACCTTCTCACCTCTCTTTCTTCCTAGTATTGCATTTTGGTAAATCAAAATAATATTTGTTTTATCTCAAACTTATTCTCCATTTTAGACTTATAATTCAATTTATACTAAAAATAAAATCGAATTAGATAATAATTTCAGAACAAAGGTAGTAACACAGAACAAAATAAATTATCAGTATGAGAAGTAGATTTATTGTCCATTTTATCCAATGGTTTTTAATCTCTGTGTTTAACTAAAACAAAAGCTCCAACATTGTGGTTGGTTGCAAATTGGAAGTACTAAAAAGAGTTAACGTCGGTAAGGCATGAACTCCCACTGGCCGGAATTAGGATCCCGGCCGTACAATTTTCCGTCCTCGGCGATCATCCACATGCATTCCGAATGGCACCGCCGGCCGTCGCGTTTGTGGGAATACGCATCAAAACGCTTAGGAACATCAGAGTCGTCGTCATTCCAATCCACTTCGCAGTAAAACAGAGTAGTTCCCCACAAATTAACCCGGAAACTCCAAGATATGGAATGCCCATCAGGAATTGCAATACGACCGAGATCATCATCTTTTGATCGACAATGAATATCCATAATCTTCCCATGTCCCAACCCATTGATCACTGTAACATGAACTTCTTCAAGAATACTACTTTGACATGGAATGAAGACTAAAACTAGAAAGATTATGAACAATTTCCCTTTTGACCCTTTCATCTAAGATGCAATTTTTTTGTTTGTTTGTTCCTAATAGAGAATAATTTTACACCACTTTATATATCTAAACTCAACGATTGAATATTGGGAAGCCGCATTGCCAGCTTCATGCAAAGGGAGCCTAATATACGTTAGTATAGCTACTTTAGTTCTAATCCATAATCAAAAAAAAATCACATGCAGCAGACCAACAAACCTTCTGAAGCCCTTTAAGCTCTGTGGTTATTTCCTTTGCTGTTGTTACGAACTGAAAACTGAAAATTGCTCTAATCTTAATCAGATTATCTTGAAAGAAACTAGTGCTTCTTTCTTGGTCGGATGAATATGTACTGTGAACTAACTGTCCTAATCAGTACTTAGCGTTGTTATGTCCAAGTCAACTAAAGTTGCATCATGCATTAAACAGGCTTAAACTTAATCATTTTAGCTCAAAATGATAGTAAATTAGAGTTCTATTCCTTGCTGACGATGGATGGCAAAGCTGAAGGTGAAAAAGTAAACACGATGAAAGCTGTGTCTGTATAGAGATGATGAAACCTTAAACAAACATGAAAGTTCACTGAAACAACAGGTTCAAATCCAGGTTGTTTATATTACATGATTCAATAAGCTTCAGGAGTTCAAAACTCTTGAAGAATGTAAATTTATTCCAACAAGCCCAGAACTAAACAAACCAAATCTGTTCATGACTTAAGGCACGGAAACCCCATGAGATCCAATTACAGGATTCTCAGGACCTGACTTTCAACCATGTCAAAGGCTTCAGGATTCTTAAGTCAGAACTTCGAGAAAGCAAATTCCCTCAACTGCAGCGTGGAACAGCTACCAACGTTGGGAAGTTTGTATTATTTAAGCAGGGGATTACGATAAAACGAGTTTTCTATTTTACAAAGCATTAAGGCCTTGTGTGTCTCCAATCCATACCACTCCCTAGCATAAGAGATGGAGACAGGCCAAAATGCTAATAAGCCAAGAATGATTTGCCTAGAAGCAACCAAATGGTGGTAGAACCGGTGTTTCCATTTGGCTGCGAAAAAGGATGGAATTTGAGACCAATGACTGGAAACAAATTCCATCCTTTCCCTGATTTTCATACCTTAAGGTTGCAGCAGCCGATGGTATCAGCTGCTGCAACCCATTGACTAGGAAGGACCATGCCAAGACCAGAACTCATCAAATTAGGCAGAGGATGAACCGTCTGGCAGAGATTGGTAAACGGAAATGGATCGAGATCAGCCCTGGAGTACACACTAGTCACCTCAGAACCCATATTGTTTGATCTGTATCCATCAGATGCTTTTGGTGAGCTTGAATTTCCACTATCAGACTGGAATAGTTCAGAACTCTGGGATCCAGTCAGTTGAGAAAATGTCTGAAATTTTCCTGTTGTGGATCGTTTTTCATCAGTTGGATCATGGGTGCCCTTCAAAGCCTTTGTGTTGAGAAAACGACCGCCACAACCTCTTGGTCGGCGCATTGCATGGAGATGGCGCGACAGGTGCAGATACGGCTGCAAGGCATGAAGCAGAACCCAATTATGTTATTGCATTAGCGAAGAATGACATATGTTTGTGCGATCAATATAAATGTTTCTCATCTTTAGAGAGATTCCCTCCTTATGTCGAAGAAATTTTGGACTAATGCAACTTGTATTGCCCATGTTGGATACAGTAGCTATTTAATGACTGGATTGCCTTTTAATGCAAAAGATAAACAAAGATGGATATACCTTGCGGCTTTTCTGAGCCTTTTTCACCATTTCTGCTTTTGCACGATACTTTCTGCGCCTCAGTATTCCATGATACTGCTTAACATTCACAAATATCGGAACCTCATCGGTGGTTGAATTCAGTGGCAGCATGATTCGGCCCTATATGGTTGAGAGAGGAATACTAATGAATCTCCATAACATCCACTTGCAACTAAGAAAAAGGAAATTTTTTTTCGATAAACTGTGCTCTCTGACTTATGAACCCTTTACACTTAGATCCTTTCAGGCCATTTCCTATTCTTAAGAAATGTTGTATGTATCAATTCTCACCTAACTGTTTTGAGCTGTTATAATTTCGAATTACTCATGTCAATTGATCGTTCATGCCTGAATTATATCTAAATTAGTGAGAAGTACAAACATCTGCATATAGCAGAGCTGGAATACTCGAATTTACTACGACTTAAAGAACCTAAAATTACAGGATCATTCTAATGAATACTGATAAAAGAATAAGAGACAAACAAAAAAAAAAATGCTACGTATCTGGGAATAAGGAGGAGTACATACAGTGAGTTGATGCCCATAAGATGATAACACTCCATAACACTGCTCTCCATGAGGATATTTGGCACGAACCTAAACCCGCCATGAATATAAACAAATGGAACACATTAAAATTGATACAGAAAGTGTCCACCGATGTATGAGATAGACATGCTTAAGACAATGAAATCTTACCACAGGTTGACCGAAGCCTAGTTCAATATGCCCGCGATATTCCAAAGCTGTTCCTTGCATGTTGTTAGAACCTTGGAGCTGAAAGTTCTTCTCAGCCGGAGGATTTTTGGCATGACCTGATGAAGGGACATTGCCACATGAATGACGTTTGGTTAGTAGAGAACAAAGGTAATGAAGAAGTTTCAATCAGCAGATACTCTCATTCTTCACCATTTTTGTAGACAAACATGAGATGTATTGAAAAAGTAGGGATCAGGTTTCCCTCATTATTCAAATGGATAGATTTAATACCAATGTATTAGCAAGATTGCAGCCATTTACTACATGATATTTAGTCAAGTTAGAATTTTTTTAAGTTGATTTTCTGATCTCCACATCCCAATTTAAAGTTCAATCATCCATCTTCATAACAAGAAGGAACCGGAAAATGGTAATTTAATTAACAAAAGCATTCCATTGTCCTATAAGTGTTCCAGTGTCTCAGGAACTGATGCTAAGCAGCACACCACATAGATAACTTCATCACTTTCCCATAATGATGTTCTTAAAACATCTTGTATGTCTTCATAACAAAAGAAATTCCTGCTCCCTATTCTTAACACATACAAAGAAGTCAAGCTCCCATGGAGCCTACACATAATGAAGCCTATAGCCCACATAGTAGTATCTTTTTTGAGATTAACCTAACTTTCCTTTACTTTGGGAGCTGGTAAAAACTAAAAAGGCTCCAGATGTCAAATGAGAAGGAGAGAGCCAGTAAGAAGCATCATTCATCCTTTTGTTCACTTAAAACAAAAGGATAAAGCTAAAACATCGAAGCTTTCAAAGTAGGGTAAAATGACAATGAATGACATTATCATGACAATGATGGCGGAACACACAAGAAAAAGCACTATAATTTATTACTATTATTAAGTCATTGTGGTTTCCACCTATACCGATTAACTCTTTCCTGGGAGTCCCCTAAAAAAAGATTAGGATGTTTATCAATCTAAGGTCACTGTTAATTGAATTGAATACAGTTAACTATCAGACAACCGTAAACCGACATGGGCATAGTAATAATAATAATAGAATAATAAACTGAGAAATAGGAAGAATCTCAAATGGGGAAAATTATGTACCAGGAAAAATGATGAACTGGTGATTATTAGGGTATAATCCCTTTCCGGTTTCTTGCTTAGGATCATTGTTCTCCGGGATTTCCTTAGGAGATTGAGTTTGGGTAGTTGCAGAAGACTTGAACAGCCCACCAAATGCATCGTGGTGATCCTCCTCATGAGCTTCGGGTTGAGACCCGAGACCGCTCCACCAAGGCACCGTGGAAAATGAAATGGCTTCACGCTCTTTTGGAAACAGAGTACTCTGCATGGCGGCCATTAATATGGGTGTTGACCTCTCACAACACCGGGTTTAAAATTGCTAAGATTTTGGTCCAAGTAAGCCCTGATGAAATTCAAGTTTCAAACTTTCTATTCAATTTTGGGCCTGAAAAGTTACTAATAACTCCGGCACATGGAGCTACTAGCTTTAAAGGGAAAAGGGGAAAACAGAGAAGTGACAGGTTGAAGAATCTAACAGGGAAACAAATAACACCAAAACAAAAGGGCTGTAAAAGAGAAAGAATCTAACAACAGTAGAATCTACACGTTTCTAAATCTGAACCCGCCTTTCAATTCTAAACAAAAAAAGTACTAGAATTTGTGACAGAAAGTTGAGAAAACAATGATGAAGAAGAAGAAGAAGAACAAAGGCCGGGAAAAGAATTCTGGTTACAGGACTAAATTAACCCAGACAATTAATAAGTTGTCAAGTTCTACAACTTAAAACAACCATGCAAAAAACACATACATACAAAAAAAATATACTCTAAATGAGAAGCAGAACTCAAGAAAGATTTAGAGGGAACCCAGAAAAACTTTTTCCCTGTTTAGTTGAAGTAACAAAGGAAACAGGTGAGAAAACCAATCAAGATGGTTATTATAAAATCTGAAGTAGTACTAAAGAATAGATAATTAAGCCTAAACTAACTAGGGGGGTGGTTATAGCTTTAAGTTAAGTAGAATTAATAAGAAAAGAACTTGAGAAGACCAAAAGGTAAGAAGAAGTCTGACCGAATGAATGGTGAGAGAGGAAGCTTGCAGCAATCAAATAGCACTTGAGGGGGAAAAAGAATAATTCGTCAACAGGTTGATGATGAGGGCGGTGTTTGTTGGTTTGAGTTCAGAAGCTGGAAAACCATAAGGTAGGAGCCATATGTCGGTAGCCAAATGGAAAAATTTCAAGAGAGCGAATGAAAATGAATCAAACACTCAACAGGGCCGAAGGGGGGAAAAGAGGGAAGTAAGTTAGATGGAGTTAACCGCTTAAATATCATCCAAATTACTCCGAGGCTGTCCCCAAATGGAGATTGGAGATCATAGCTGTCACGCCTACTTTTTCGTCTTTTATGCCTTAAGTTATTTTATAAGGAATCACTTTGTTCTATACTAGTTCGGAATTGGATGATTCATATTTCACTTCTCTCCTCCTTTATTTTATGATACAATATATATATATATATATATATATATAAAACTATAAGGAGGTGAAATTATGATTTGGATAATTTGTTTTTAGTAGAGACCTTACTAAGAGTCCAATCTAAGCAGGATAATCATTTTGAGACAGAAAAAAAAAATTATAAACTTGATAGTATGTGAATTCATCTAATTAACGAAATAGATCAATGACTGTTGTGACTTGTGACACATACAAATTATAAGATGACCCATTCTGTTAGTGAAAAATATGATGAAATGATTAAAATGTTTGTGTTGTTTTATGTGTTATTTCCTTCCACCTCAGAAAAAATAATACATTTTATTAATTCAGTAAAATAAATTATTTACTGGAACGAGGGAATACAACTTATAATATTCATTCTTCATTTTTTTTTTACAAGACTATAGATTATTATATATTATGATGCCTTAATTTAATTCTCTACTTTGTTATCAAGTAATTATAAGTGATGAAATTAGACTAAATGCAATATATAGATAAATATATATATATAATAACTTTCTTAATTAAGCCTGACGATACATACTTTGCGGGTTTGGAGTTAGGCCCACTGGCTACTTGCGTCTGGTGTGAAAGTTAAATACAAAATGATTTAGACAAATTAAAAGAATCAAATGGTTAATAGATTGAACCCCCCAGTCCCCACCCTACAAAATAGTACAAATGGAAAGACGGATTTAAAAAATACAGAAAACAGTAGTTAGGATGAAAGCTGCCCAATTTGGGCAGTAGAATATTGGTGGTTGGATGGTGAATCGATAAGATCGCATAGGGCGTTTCCATTTCTACTGTTTGCCCATGTTACCGGTAAATATATTAGACATAATTTGTGTGTATTCATTATATTCCAAAATAATTATGGGATTTAAATTTTTATTTTTAATACAAATCAAAAACAAAACAATAATTTAAAGTACATTTATTTGGACCGTTTAAGATAACAACATCATAGTATAATTTAAGCTTTAATTCAGTCAATAAGCGGTCTCTTTCAGCAAATTTTTGTTTTTTCGAATGTAGGAGTAATTAATTAAATTGGTTGTGGATTCTGCCATCGGTCGTTCCTAATTTCTCTCTTCTTACCTTACCAAAGAATCTTCATCATCTCAATAAAGATTCTTGTAATGTTCTTATTACAACACCAGAATGACGTATTCTTTCTGACCTTTTTTTTTTTTTTTTTTGAAAGCCAATTGGAACAGGATGGGTGGCTGATTAATGAATCTTAGGAATCTATACGCGGTCTGAGTGAAGAGCGTACGTACATCTAAGAATCTACGTACAGACTATAGACTATATATATTACAGACACTCTTTGGTTTCATTTTGCATTTTGTTGATTTACAATGTAATGTTTACTTCCATGATTCCATCCATTTGGAAACGAACATCAGTCTTTTTATTGATCTGGAATTATAAGATGATAACATTAAAAAGGCCACGTATGGGATATGCTGAATATATAACCTTATTAACTTCGTCTGTTGATAACTAATTAACTTCTTCAGATATGTAATTAATTTTTACTTGTCAATCTAAAGTAAAATGAAATATATAGTGAATGAAAATAGTGATTAAACATAGTGACTGATGTGGATTAATTATGGCCTTTAATTTTTTGTCACTTTTCCGTTGAAATTTTATATTTTTACTCTTAAATAGAAACTAGACATGTTTGATAGTATGTGGTGTAATTGTCTTTTCATTTATCACTATCTAAATTCACTATAATTTTTCACTATCTGTATCATTACTCCAATCTAAATATATAACAAACAAAATATTATTTCTGGACGGAAAGAGCACTATATATATTCACTTTGTCTCAAAATATAACAACCTGTAGGATAACCATATAGGAGTGGTGCAATAATTGTGACTAGATTAATTGGTTAGAGCTCCATTAACTCTATGCTGGTGAATGGTGATACTGACACTGGTTTTTATAATTACAAAGTTACGAACTTTTCTTCTTTTGAGCTATAAACCCTAATTTATTAACACAATCTGACAAATAAAGGGGTGTCATTTGTGTATGATTCTACCATTTCTTCCATGTCACGAAGCGGGCTTTAATTGTCATCCTCCACCCTTAATTACCTCCCATAGTCCCATGTCAACGTTTTTATACAGTAACTAAACCGATAGTTTAACCTAGGTTTTTCACATTTCTTATAAACTCAATTCCACAACCCTAATTAAAAAACCCTTCCAAGTAATGGACAACTTTTAAAACATGCATGCTTGAGTCATTACGTTCTTGTCAAGCAACACATCATAATTGATCTCTTAACCATTCTATTTTCCTCTGACTACAACTAATCCGTACTATGATAAGTTTTTTCGTCCAAAAAAAATATCATGTTAACTAAATCAATACAATAAACGTGATTGTTTAGGAGAAAGAATAGGTGGATAGTTTCTCTCATGCCAAAGTAAGCTGATAAATGGGATTTCAGTTATAATGCATGTTTGGTTCGCTTGGTTGAAATTATGATCGAAATTCCTTCCTGCCGACTTACTTCTACTGTAAGTAATTTGGAGGATATGGCCCTCATAACCTCAAAGCTGCTAAGAACATATTCGGACCCCGTGCCCTCAATCTCCTCCCCCTCTGTCATGTCCTTTCATCCACCACTGAAAGTTTGGCGAAGTTGATATGGAAAAAAAAAATTTAAAGAGTAGTTTTTTTTTTTTTTTGTGTCTAAATAAAAGAGTGGTGGAGGAGGGGACTGAATTTCGATTCTGTCTAGAAAGCTCATCAAGACCAAACAATTTGTGTTGTTTGTGGTCCTCCCCAAACCCTAAAAATCCCCACCGGCCCGACCATTACCTAATTTCATTACTTCAGCCCTTAATATCACCTTGTTCTTCTTTAGTCTACAACAACAATCTCATCACATATGATGTGTAGTGTGTGTATCTCTTGATTTAGTTTCTTTTCCATTCATTCTGGACACGGTCCTTGAACTTTTTCGATTTTTTTTTTAGTTAGTTATAGTGGATACGTTGACAATGTAACAAGGTAAATCACTAACTTGGTTAGGTTATACTCTACAAGTCGCCAAGCACAAACAATGATGTAAGAATATAGTATAATTTGTCCTAATGAATACATCGGTATCTTTCTTATCCTCCTTCGTTGTAATCTTTACTTTCTCCGATGTAACAAGACATAGAAACATTGGAAAGTTGGGGAAAAGTTTATAAGTATTTCCTGTGTAGCTAGGTAGCATACCTCCTTGGATTTGGTTGTGTTCTTGAAGAGTAACATAATACTCCCACGTCCTTCGAAAAAAGAGTTTGATTGTTGTATTATGTTAATCTAACAAATGCAAAAAAAAAAAAAAAAAAAAGTATTCCTTTTTGAGATGCATAAAAGAAAAAAAAAACATTGACCGTTGAATTATCGACCAATAAAAACGGCAAGTGTAAAGTACCAAAAAATAAATAATGAGGGGAGCAAGTTATGGTGAATGACGTTCCAGATGTCGTATCTCCGATGCTGATACAAGTGGGATTATAGAGTGCAATTCCATGTCCTTCCTTCAGAAGTGCACGTTGAAATTTGGAATTGAAAAATGGAGGAAAAATATCAGTTGGATACTTGGATTGGATCTATGTTTGAGAAAGTCATTTTGTGAAGGAAAGTTCATAGGCAAAAACGTATGAAAGTACAATTACGTTTTTGCATTCCACATCAGATTGAAACTAGGTACCCAAAAACGATGCACATACTTTTTGTGGTGGAATTGGATCTTTATGACTCTCTCCCCCACCACTAACTGGACATATTCGGATTCCCTTTTCGTAACTAGTTTAAGGTATACAAGGAGATATCGATGTTGCAGATATTCCTCTTCCATGCTAAGTTAGCTGGAATCATACGTGACAACAGAGACGTTGAATTCATTCAATGAATACTGTACGTAATTTTCACTCTTTCAAAATTGAATATAATAAAAACATATTTGTATACTTTTATTGGATCATCATTGTTATTCAATCATTTCGTTAAATAATAATAATTCAGTTTTTTTTTTTTATCAATGCTCACAACTCATTTAACTAACATCAAAGATATCGTGTTTAATAATATTACAGGTAATTAGTAATCACAAAATGTACGATTTTGAATACATTAATGTTAACATTAACGAGTGAGTGGAAGAGTAATGTTGGAGTTATTTGGAGTTATTGAGATTTAGGCTATCCAAAGCTTGTGGTTCTTTAGATTATCCCTCTTGATTATGTGTTGTCGTGTAATTAACTTTTGGATGGATCATGAATGGTCATTGATTGATTAACCCGCTAACTTTTTTTTTTTATTTATATTTTTGGCCATTAAGTTGCCTTTGCGTGACTTGAGAGGAAGTGAATCTAAATGCGGAATGGTTTTATGAATTCTCTTGTTTGTTTTTTAGTTGGTTTTTTCAGAATTAAATAATAATAATTGTCCCATCCTAATATATTTTTTTACATTTCTAATATATTTTTTTATATTTTCAATACAAAAAACTCCTAAAAATATACACTAAAAAAACGAAACAAACATATCGATCGTGCTTTCTTCTTTTTCCACTAAATTTTCATCAACTACCCTACACATTTATGAGATGATAAGTGCTTCAATTCCACACTTCTCATTTCCACCTAATTTTTTCCCCATGCAAAATTCAGCTAATATAACATCTGGTCTCTCACTTAGAAGATTAGTAGTACATTTGAGTTTTGACCTCCCCGAACAAACTGATTAGAAGGTTGGATTTTGTATGAAGTTATACAAAGTTATTTCTTGTTTAAAAATTATAACATGTCTTGCCCCTAGTTTTTATAAGGTAAATGCAAATTTTCTCTTAAAATTTATTACTATATTATATATAGTATAAGACATAAGAAATATTAACATAATTAAACTGAACAATCGATCTCGAGAGAGTGAAGAATGTTAATTTATGCTTCAACTGCGTGAGGCTGGAGGACAAGGGGGCCTGAAATGAACTTGTTACTCCAAAAAGATTCTCCCTCTTGGTGATGGCTACGTATATGGAGAATCCATTTTAGTTTTTATTTATTTTTTTACAAAAATGTGGCAGTTGGATTTTAAAATTGTTAAACTAGGGTTGGCTCCACGGATTCTTGGATTTTAAAATTGTTAAACTAGGGTTGGCTCCACGGATTCTTCCCCCAACAAAAGAATTGAATACAATAATGAGAAGTATATTCTATGCAAATAGGAAGAGGAGTCCAGTCCACCAAGCAATAATATACTATTCTCTATGTATAAAAAAAAAAGTTTTATATTAAATGTAGTATATTTAGACAGAGAAGAGCATGAGATCGGTTACATCATTAATTCACATTGAACTATGACTGTTTCTGTAGGTATATAGATACTCCCACCGGTACTTAATATAAAATATTTTAATTTGTTCTAAATTTCATCTAATACACATTTTAATTGAATAAGAAACTTTAAAAATATATTTTCACATCCGTTGTATTCTCTAGAGTGTTAAATATTTTTGAGACTTTTCTATTAATTAAAAGTGTGTACTAAGTGTAGGGGTGTTCACGGTCCGGATTGATCCGGATTAGCCGTAATCCGTAATCAAACCGTTCATTACGGTTTTAAAATTTTTGAAACTATAACTGGACCAGATTGATGTATAAACCGGACCAATCCAATCCATTTTGAACGGATTGGTTTGGGCGGATTGGTGGTTTGGACTTCTAATTGGGTTTCTTTATTTTGGGCCAAAAATTAAACTTTTTTTTGTCATGGGACCTTTTTTCGGCCTTTTTTGAGGGTTTTTCATAAATTTTTTTGGGCCTTTTTTCGGCCTGTTTGGGAGGAAAATGGGAGGAAAAAAGAATTTGTGAATGGGGGACTCGAACACGCAACCTCCAGCAAATGTAAAAGTAGGAGGAACAACAATACCAATGAGCCAACTTAACATTTTTTATATAAGTTATCACCCGACTTTATATATAAAAAAACTATTATATTACTAATAATAATATATATATACGGGCTGGTCTGGTTTGACAGACGGTTTGAAAGTGCCAATCCGTAATCCAGACCGGTATGACCGATTTTTGATTTTTCAATCCGCCGGTTTAAAAATACAATTAAAATCCGCCCGCTAAACCAAACCGATGACCGGATTGGGCGGTTCTACCAGTTTGAGCCAAACCGTGAACACCCCTAACTAAGTGAACCATAGGACAAATCAAAATACCTTATATTAAATAGTCGAGGGAGTATTATGCATTTAGTGTTTGCAAGTCATTTCATGTGACGAGTGTTTTGGTTAATTTTTTCTTTTTTTTAATGTAAGTTGGCATAAAAATGATTTTGAATAGAATGTAATAATTAGCATTCATTCCACCACTAGCCGGCTTAATTCGGATGATGCCTACTCATCGACCCAATTTACCTACAAGTTCTTACATTTTTAGGTTGCTGACTTGGTGTCCCTTTTGATTCCTCTTCCTTTATCTCCCCGAGTAACCTTTGAAGTCTGCATCCTTTTTTTTTTTTGGGGGTTTGGGGGACACTGAACACAATCTGTTTATTACATTAGAGTTTCTTTTTTTTTTTTAAGTATTAATTACTTGGATACAAGATGCAAATGCTTCAACTCATCATAACCAAGTCTAGTTGCTATGTTTACTCTTTCTGCTTTTCCTCCTGACGGGGTCTTTTAGTTTTACCCAAGAGGGACCATATAGTAAGTACTTGAAGAGGGAAAGAACACTACACATCTTTTTTACAATGCATATGATTTCTACAGTATATATGGTCTCTACTTAATTTGGGATCTATAGTCTATACCCGAGTACGATACTCAATATTCTAAATGAGATACATGAGTATCTTCCTCATTGCTAATCCGACAACAAACATGGGATGGAGAAGGATGAAGGCAACAATCAGGAAAATACATATGAAGATGACAATCGCCACCATGTAAACTGGAAAAAGGAAAAGAAAGCCCACGGAGGCAATCAATGCAGCGGACAAGGAATGCTCCGAGTAATCCCACAGTCGCATCTTCCACCACGCCATCACTTCGCCACGTTGGTATTGATGCATGCGAAATTCAAAATATGCAACAGGCCTGCGTGGCTTAAAAAATTTACAGGTTAAGCAATATGTAAAATCATCATAAAACTGAAATTTAAGACACTCGCACAGTAATCAAGCATTGTCCAACGTAAAATCAGAATTAAGCGTCCAACCAATTTCACTGATTCACATTGATGTAAACGCACAGAAAGGCAACCTTCATGCAGCAGTGAGAACAACTTCAATGGGACCTAAAGCTCAAGAGTTCAAGCCAAGTAATTGGCTTCCTATAGAAATACAAGTTACAGCTGTGTGTACATTAGGCCTTGATGGACTGGCCCTAACCTTCTGCACAGTCGGGAGCTTTTCTGCAGCAGGTAGCCTGTTTACTAATCGAACAATAGCAAACCACACAACAATGGGAACAATACAAGAGGAACAGAAATTTTCAAAGGGAATACTACACTCTAATCAGGATACATCAATGCCAAGCAGTACAAAAAGAGCATGGTACACTATTAATAAGGGAATAACCCCCCAAGAGACCCACATTGCGGTATAGAATTTGTACATCACTTGTTCAAAGGCAATGTTTCAGGCCCAAACTCAGAAGTCCAGCATTTAAAACAGATAAGAAAGTCAAGTTTGTGACACTTTGAGGTCAGTTAATAAGAAGAAAGCTGAGTAAGTATAGACTCAAACAGAACTTATCTGCGGCTAAATGATAGTAACTAGAACACCAATTTGAAGGCAGGCGCATGTAAATAAGACTCTTCTCTCTTGTAAAGATAATGAACGATTGAATGCAATGTACAGTCACATCACTACATCATTCACATGTTCATTCATTGAAGAACAAATTTTGGCTAAGCAAGTCACAGACATTATTAAATTAGCAAAAGCTTCCGAGTAAAAGAGAAGGCTCGTGAAAAAATTCCACACTAAAATGACATAAAAGATACACCTCCTAAGTATGAGTATCAAACTCAACCGGATTGACTCATACAAGCCCAACAAGTGCAAACCTCAAACTTAAGTAGCCTCAGCTAATGATGCGTCTTGATATATGGAAAAGCTTACACAATCAGGAAAACCTAAATCAGGGTTTTTTAGTATATCACCCAACATAAACGAATTGATAATCAAAAAACGGATAACGAGCAGAAAATATCCTTCGAGAAAATTTTTTGACGGAAATTTTCCATATAACGGAGGGAAAAAAATTTTCGAGGAAGAACAGAAATTTACCCATTGTTTTTTTCCGGCACCATTCCGGGATTCTGCTCTCCAACTCTGTTCCGTTCCGCTATAAATTTTCTCGATTCATCAGCCACTGTCGCTACAAAGAGGAAGGTAGTGACGGCGACAAGAATTAAGAAGCGAACCTCCATTGGAAGGGGTTTCGGAGGGAAAAAGTGGAGAGAAATTATCTACCGGAAGGTGTATATATATACACTATAAAATCTTATTCAAAGATGTTAAACCATGATTAGGAAGGAAACTTACTTATAATCCCTACTCAAAGGCGGTTACCAAATCTATTTATTGATTTTATTAACAAAAATAAACCCGTTTATAAAAAGTGTTTCTGAGGAAAAATCAGTATTACTTTTAATTCCTTGCTTCCACAGTTTTCTTTTCTAGTAATAAGCCCTTGTCTCGTGTTCGATCAATGATCAATAAAATTGATGAATTGATCATAAGTTCCTCGATTGCTTAACTAATAGTTATGAATTGATCATAACTTTTACTTACCATTCTTTTTAATAGTTTCCAAATTAAGCTCTGATCGATCAACCTCAATAAACTCTGTCAGGAACGGGGGATTTCAGGGATGGGTGTAAAAGAAAGAACAGAGCGATGTTTGTTCTGGGCGGAGCGAGTCGGGTTCTTGATTATGGCAATATCATGGGTAAACATCAATTGCTGGTCGTGGTTAACGCCGGATTTGTACTATTCGTTATGCACAACTCCGATCAAGTTATTTTTGAAGTGCATCAACCTCCTCTACTTGTTGGTGTTCGCTGCAAAATTGCTGTTTGGGTTTGGAAGACCTGTCGAATCATCATCGTCCCAGAACGGTCCAATTGGTGGTCCTAATCAAAGCCCAGTTGGGTTTTTTAGCAGTATTGATTTGAGAGATTGGTAATTGGATGGTGAAGAATCCAGGTTTCTTGTTGGAATGTCTGACTCTGTTATTATGGGTCCATGGTTCCAATGTACTTGGTGATCGAGGCTTTTTGTGTTGGCAATCTACCTTTGTCATATGTTTCCCTTTGTTGAATATTTATTATGCATGCTATGGATCCTCAAAGGAGTTCCAATCTGATCTTCGTCATCACAAGAAAGAAGAAGAAGAGGAAATTACTATTAAGCAGCCCAACTCAGAGTATGATGCTTGCAAAAGAGCAGAGTGGGTGATATTCTGGGTTGAAAGGCTAGGCTTCTTCATTTTGGCTTTGACTTGGCTTTTCATAACCAAGATTAGTAAGCGCGCTACTCAGGAGTTGTGGCTCAGGGGCATAACCGTGATTGGTTGTTTCTGGATGGCCACCAACCTGTTATACTTGGTGGTGTACATTGTGAGGATATTATCCGGCTGCCGGAATATTGATTTCTCCTTCGTCACCCCCTTGAAGAACCACCCCGTATTTTGGTTGGAGCGGCTTTCGCTTTTGATATTTGCATGTGGGCTCAATGGTTATGGTCGTCATGAAGCATCTGAATCTGGAACAAGGAGATAATATGGTGTTGGACTTGAGCTTTTCGGTGGTTTTTCCATTGTTGCAGATATACCATGCACGGTTTGGTTACTCCGAAGCATTCCAACACGATACTGATCAGGTTCAGGCGCGTGCCCCAGTTTCGCAGGATTCAGCCAATGCTGAAGAGAAAACCATGAGGATGCATCCTCGGAAGAACACACGCCCGAGTCAATGGAAGGTGAAATTTGCTCTAGGTCCTCTTGTCTTGTATGCAGAAAGAAAAGGCCAATCTGGTCAACACGAACATAACGAGGAAGACACTTCTCCCTCTTCTTCTGCATCATCCACACTAGATAAGGAGGTGATGCTAGAAAATTTAGAGGAAAGGATATATATGAAAATAGTGAATGCAATGAAAGAACACCATCAAACCACTGTACTTAAGAAAGTTGTGGAAAGATACGAGGAGGATAACCAAATTTTGCAAAAACAGAACTATGAGTTGACAGAGGAGCCAAGTGCTGCAACTGCATCCTCGCAGTTATACTGCAGCCTTCTTCACGAGGCTGATCTAAACTAGAACTCGAAAATTAGATCTTTTGAAACATAGTCACAGCTTACAAATGATGTATTTTACTACTTATTTAAGGGTGTATATCCCCCTTACCATGAATTCTATTGATTTATATGGCTGTTTTCATGCACTGGTATACATGTGTTGAATCATTATTAACACAGTGGCCTGATAATCAACCAGGGAATAAGGTATACTGGACAGATAAGCACATGAATCAGGAACCCAATTTTCCATCAGAACGTAACATTCTTGAAAAAGATGAACAGTGAAGAGGAAGGAAAAATTGTAGTTTTTGACTGCATAAAAGCTTCCAAAATTTCCCATAATTTTAACATCTGATGATAACCATAATATCACTAGTTCTCAAAATCCTGAGTCCAAAAAGGAAGCTCTACAAACGCGTCTTGTTTCAGACAATCATATACATTGCACCAAACCAGATCAAAACACAACATCCAAAGCCACTGTAAAACTATCTTGAGTAGTTCAGCCATTCATAGTGGATTTGTAGTGATACTGATCAATAGTCGAGTAAACCAGCCCTTCTGATTCAAGTAACTCGATCGCTTCTCTGGAAAAATGACAAGGGACAAACCAGAAAATGATTACATGCTCACAGGTTCAACATGTTGATTCTGAGAGCGTAAGCAGGTCAAATTGTGAAAGTAACACAGAGACGTACTTGATTTGTTGCAAGGGCACGCCCAGATGTGATTTTAGTTCATCTATGTGTATTCCCTTCTCTAGATTACTGAAACAAAAAAGTTGAAATAGAGAATTCAAACAGAACTGAAAGACAAACACAGCTAAAGCTTGTCAAAAACAAGTTAGTATTCCGATTCTTTAGGGCATGAATTGGCATCAGCAATACAATGATTCTCAGAAATCATATGCAATGTCCTTGCATCTGAAAGGAATGTTGTGACCAAGTAACAATTTCAGGTCCAAGCTGCCACTACTTCAAACCTCAGCTGCCTTAAAATTTTGCTCACTTCCTAACATACCCATAAATGCTGTATATAGTTTTAAAATCCTCTCTTTGACAAATCACACATAGAATGTGATACTATATTTAGATAGATCTGCAGTAGCAATTACTAGCACAGTCTTCACAAATAGAAACAACAGGTAAACATTATTTCTTTTAAAACAAAAAAAAAAAAAGAAAAGAAAAAGGAACTACAGGTTAAAATTTTAACCTAACATGTGTGAATTCAAAGTTGCAAAGCTACAAAGCAACAGAATATAAAACTCAATTCAGATGATACCCAAAATAAAACCTCAATGCAGAAGGATAGCATCACATATCTTACAGGTATTTTGGCTGCTGCAAATAGTCCAAAATCATTCCATCGATGCTTTTGCGTCCGTCAACAGCGAACCGGCCAGAAAACTGAAAAAGAAAACATTAACCAGGCGATAATCAAATATTAACCACATAAGCGATCACAAAACTACAAACATGGACTTACTTGACTTGTTTCAGCCTTTACAGGAGTAGTTAAACCTGAACTCGGCATTTGAACAGAACTACTGCTGGCATTATCTTGCAACCTCTACAGTTTTTTTTATACAAAAAGAAAAGAAACAAGAGTTACAACCATATGGAACCAAAGCCAAGTAAAATTTTGTAGTCAAGGAAGGTTTATGTTAGAAACACATAAAATTGAAATTTAACACAATAATAAGACTAATACCCGTAATCTGGTGTTGTGGCAGTGGACATATATACAATCAGCAAAGTGGTTAGTTATCTCATTATAATCGCTCACAGGCCTGAAACAGACAAAGCAGAGAGGTTTTTCAAATCTGAGACTCAGCAACTTCAAAATGCGAGATGCTAATTTGAGTTGTGAACTGATCCTGTACTGTGATTAGATCCAATTTGCGCACCATACTGCTTTTGAGGTGTGTTTGAATTGTAACAGCACAAACAACTAATCGCTAATTTCACCCATGAGGTTGGCGCATCTTACTTTATACGATTGTGCAACTCCAGGGCACCTTTCACTCTCTAAATTCTAAGTAACGTAAAACCATGAAATTTAATATTCGGACTTGAGACATTCAAGACTTAAAAATCATAATACCTACCAACACAACAATTATAACCTGGAAGTACTTTCACATAAACTTAGTTTTTAACACATTTTTCAACATTATAGCCTGCGACATCGTTCACTTGGTATAATTTTAATAGCTTACTCTATGTCCCAACACGAGACACTTGGATCTACTATTCACATAATACTGTGCCCCACTTCCAAGCTTCAATCAGAATTACTGGTATTGTCAATGTACTCACAAAGATAAAACACTTGACATTCCAATACAGCAAGCAGTAAAACCGATGTTCTTGGTTCATAAGCATAACAAGGAAAATTTATCAACAAAACAAGGTGAACAAACACATACCGGACAGAGTAAGCCACCAGTTGCTTTTTCCCCTGAAAGCCTTTCAAGTGGCCATGAACAACGACATACTTGCCCTCCCTAGTTATGAAATTAACGACAACAATCATAAGCAAAGAGCTACAGCATGATCTGCCCAACCAAGTCATACTGGAGTGCAAACGAAAAAGACTTACTCTACTTTATCCATTTCTTGAGATTCATAAGCTTCTCCATTTAGCCTACAAGGAGGGGTTAAAAAAAAAAGTTCAGCTTAAAGTCAGAGAAATTTTTACTCAAGCAAAACTATTACACAACTTAGATTGATAAAGGAAATCTGTTCGAATCTAAAGAATTGAAGAGAAGTAAAAGAGGATAACCATCTGAAACAATTGATTCGGCCAGTCCCATCATCTAAGACGAATTGAGCATCAGTTACCCTGGAGGCTTTGTCCATCAATGTTCCCACCAATTTCACCTGAAAACAACCCAGGAAAAGTTCAACATCTCTAAATTCATCCCAACATATCACTAGGAAGGGAACTTCCTTCTGACAAGAGCATAACGAGAAAATAGAGAATCAATCGTTTTTTTGAAAGGGGAAAAAAAAAATCCTACATTATTCACGTCAGCCCCATCTATGACAATATTCATTCTGTCATCACTAGACTGAAATGCCGCACTAATTTGCTTCACTGTGAGTGGAGTCAAGGTTTGCATATCCCGACTCTGCAAAAATAGAAATAAGAATTTTCAGCACCAATGATTTAACCAACCGTATCCACTACCGGCATAAAATTCTGAACATCTTCCAATATCCGCAAAACTAAATTCAGGACAAATTTTAATTAAGGACCAATTAATGCAATAACCAAGCACGCCTAACTCACCAACATAATTTTAATAATCTCTTCATCATAGTCAGGAAGCAATCAATCAATTTCACTCTATTTCCACTAAGTAATCGACAAAAACTTTACAAATGGATAGGGCGAAAAAGAAAGTGAAAAATTGAAATCGCGTTTAAACCCTATAACAAAACCCTGCTAAGTATTTCACGGTACGAAAACAAAATTCTTCTCCGTCTATCATGTCCTTCATAAAATTAGTAAAGAAGCACAAGAAACCAAACCTTTGCCGGTGAGAAGGAGGAATCGTTCGCGGTTTGAGTGGCCTGCGAGGGCATAAAACCACCGCCGGAGAAGGCGGCATTTCCATCAAATTGGCCGTGACTTCCGTACATGATTCTTCCGATACAAAAGTATTTGATAAGTTGAAGCAAAAAATTCAACTGCGGGAAGAAATGATGAGTGCGGAAGCGTACTGCACACGATTAAAGCTCAAGCATAGAGCGAAGTTCCCGCCCTTTTTATGCATCCAGGAACGGAGCAAAGGTTTTAAAATAATTAGGGTAGTTTCTTGGGGTCCTGATAATTTTATTTTTTGCCACTGCAGTATGTTCAGATTTCACTCAAAACCTTAAGATTTGATAAATATCAAATTGGAACCTCAAGTATTCTTCTTTATTTTCTGTTCCAGTCAACAGTTTACTTGGTTAGTATTTTCATTTTTTCTACAACAAGCTTATTAAAATTAATAATACTAATAAGATAATCATTTAACAGAATATGGTTTATCTTTTCCTCCATTTTATTTTTATTTTTATTTTGGTTACAATGTAATTGACTAATTGTGTCTGTTTTTGTGTGAATAATAATTATTTTATTATAAATCGACTGATTTTTAAAACCAGCATACGGAATGAAAAGTGCACATGAAATATCTAAATCTAACCATTCATGAAGCTCATCCAAACTTTTAAAAATTTATAATAACACCAATTAACCTTTAGATGAAACCCAACGTTCAATACGGGTATGGAAATCTACTAAGGAATTACAAGATATGTAACACAACAAATGTCGCAAGAAATCCTTTGTCGTCGTCAATATGTACTAGATAGATTGTAAACGACCATTAAAACTTTGCTAGCAAACAACAACCAAGAAACTTCAAACATGCTGGCCGATATTGAGAAGAAATGCAAGAAAATTGACATGTTTTGGAAAACCATCTAAACGATCTCGCAATCTTAAATGCAATCTGGAAGTGGCTATGATTGTTCAAGATCACCTTTCGTCATTTTTTATCTTTATCGCAAAATAAATTTCAAAACATTTGCGATTTTGAATCAAAATAAGATGATTATAAAATGGTAAGAGCATAATTACCATACCGAATCCCTGCAAGAGATAGTAAAACATATACTGTTTTTGAACCTTGGATAAGAGAATTCCACCAAAATTTCGCAACGTCATCCCAATTTAAATGGGACGTATCTTTTCACATTTTACCAATAATAATAGTAGTTAATTAAGTGGATGAAAATTGATTTATTCAGGAGTATATATACTTCATTACATAGCAAAACTACTGGATTTTCTCTTCTTCTCTGGAAACGACTAAGTGAAACAGGAAAACGGCGATATCGAAGATGAGATACGAGGAAATCCGGCAGCAGAGGATGGAAGAAAACAAGAAAAAAAAAATGGAACAATTCCGTCTTTCCCCACTATCTCAAGCCCTTCATAAAGCAGCTTTCTCTTCCGAAACTTCTACCATGAAGAGGGTAAAACCTAGTCCGGCTGTCAGAACAGAGCCAGTCCCAGTGAGAAGATGAAGCCGTTTAACAAACATGCCGGCTCCTAAATACAAAGAAGTTACAGTTGACCAGCGAGAAATGTTGTCTAGAAGGGCAGTATATATCGGAAAAGGGATTTGTCGAAAAGGGTGTATGACTCAAAGGAAGCAAGGGATTGGGCTAGAGAGCAAGCAGAGAAACTGGAAGACACTCTTGAAGGGGATTCGTTAAACCATTGCTTCAGTCCCATGTAACAGGTGGTTTTTGGCTTGGCCTTCCAGTTCAGTTTTGCAAGAAATATCTTCCCAATGGTGAAGAAACTGTTACATTGGTTGATGAACAAGGTAAAAAGTGGGATACAACATATTTGGGGCGTAAAGCAGGACTGAGTGCTGGATGGAAGAGATTTGCCGTTGATCATGACTTGGTCGATGGAGATGCATTGGTTTTCCAGTTGCTTAACGAGGTTAAAGAAGATGCATCCGTTTTCCAGTCAACTAAGTGCACAGCATTTAAGGTTTATATCATTAGGCAGAATGGCTTTGGGAAGAAGATGACCCGAGTGCTTCAGATTGTATTCTGTGGCCAAATCAGGCTACCCAATTCACGTGTTTTGTGGCATTCTCAAGTTTGATACGTTTGTTAGTGTGTTTTTCGGTTATTTTCCCCTAATTTTTTAACAATATAGTTAGCTTCTAGTACATAATATTAATAATAGTATAGGATGTCTCTTTACCTTGTTCCAAACCAATCATACTTGTATGCCCTAACAAATTATCAAAACTAAAAAAAGCTAATGATGCTAACCGATTAAAAGAAAATGATATGGCCCTAATACCTTAAACAAACATCTAACATTTCTGTAAAGCTGAACACTTTAGGAATCAAGATTTTACATGGTAACAGACTCACAATCACCATTTAGCAGAATAAATCTAAATTTACATGGTAAATCATATCTTTCTTTCAAATAAAAGTGGGATGAACACCACAAAAGAATAACGGAAAATCAACAGAAAATTTAAAATTACAACATGCACACACCCTCAGGCAATAACTTCAATCAGAAAAACTTGTTGAATTGGCTAGTTAGAGAATCCCTGAGATTGGAATAAAGGCCAAAGAGAGAGTACTGCCGCAGATTTTTCACTTCATACCATGAGTTGAATACCGAGTCATGTTTATCTGTACCAGAAAATGACAGTTGTATACCAAGGCTGCAATCTATATTACCTCCTCGGTTCTTGCAGCTACTAGTCCTGATAGCGCAATACTGATTATTTATGCAAACAAAAGCACCATTGCCAGAACATAAAGCACATCCGAATCTCTTCCAGTATAGGTTTTGCAGTGTGCCCTTCTTAAATTCCAAAACCTGAAGCAATGGAAGACCAAAGTCAAGTGTGGCATTCAAGTACTAATTTCATAAAATGGAAAACGGCAGTTCAACTTACAAGAGTAAAGCTGGTCACGATGTGGGAACTGTTAGCAACAAAAGTAGGACGGGACCTTGCAGCATATTTTCGACCAGCAAAAGCCACCATATATCCTCCATAAGAATCCTGGGATGAGAAAGAAAGACGGCAGGAAATTAGGAAAATTGTGATTCCAGCTAAAAGAGATTAACTGAAATCATCCTAAAGCTAGCGATTACAACAATGACTAGATTTGTAAGTAGTCCTTGATGATAAGCACATAGGTCTGTTCAACAAGGCAGATACCAGGAACAAATCATTGGCAGAGAACCAAGATTTAAATTTATGAGATTCAAAGCAGAAGAAAAAAAAAACCCCTAAAACCGACCACAAGTCAGGTAGAATAAGCTTCATGAGCATGAAAGACAGGTTACTAATTGTGAATCTCATTCAGGGTACAACTAAAAAGAAACTATAAATGGCAGCATCAATTGAAGATCGATGTCTTGCACAACACCAGCATTAGTCACGCTCCTCAGGGACAATGATGATTGCAGTCAGAGAGCGTTCTAAAAAAAGCTGAAACAGATAAAAACATGAAGCACCGGCGATGAAACTCAATTTTTCAAGCATACTCCTGAGAACAGAAATATTACTTCCTCTTGTCATTCACATTACAAGTGCAATGCAAGAGCAAATGTGCTATAACAAGCACAATGGCCTTTGGAACACCACATAGAAGGGCATCAATGGAACCTATCTTACATATAGAACCATCCGTGTTCAATTAAATTATCCACCAAAAATCACACCATAAAAACCAGAAAGCTGAGATGCCACAATTTTAACAACCTCTACTAGAATGAAAACGGCTGAAGAAAACGAAGTCCCAAAAATCGAGATTTGTCAAAAATAATGACGAATAACTGAAAAGCGAAATAAACAGAACTAAATAACTAAAATTAGCAAAAACCCTCTTCAGATCCAAACTCGCTTCTTCTTAACTATCACACATTGCAAGCTCATTCAGACATATATACATAACAAACAACGAAAATACATGATAAAGCTAAAGTAGTAACTATTTAAAAGCAAAAGAACTAGAAAAAAGGACCAAAAAGGTAGTACCGGGAAGAAATTGGAGGTATTAATGGTGAGGAGGGAGATCTCGTCGACTTTAGGGCGGAATACAGCCACTTGAGAGTTAGCCGATGAGAGAGACAACCGCCGATCGCAAGGCGAAAGCTGGGGGGAGTTGCTGGAGCTGTTGGGCAAGAACTCTGAGTAGCCAGCAAATGCGATGCCGAAACTGAAGCCGTCTTTCCTCTGAATCTTGGCATCCGAACAAGGAGAGTACACCGAGTTCGTATCACTGCTTGACTCAGTAAGTGGAACGATTAAGAAACAGAAGACCAGCGGGAGAAAATTGATCGGTCGGAATCTGCTGTTCGCCATTGTTGCGGTGACTTTTTGGGAACGGTTGTTGTTTTGGGTCAGGAATGTGTTCGGTCGGGGAAAATGGAGCCTCAGGGGTCTGATTGCTATTTGCTGAAAGATTCCAAACTTTACGAAATCCCGCTTGTAACCCCAAATCTATAGATAGCTTCTCCTTTCGATCCATTTTCATTGGACGCCCGATTTTTTTTCCCCCAAAGTATTTCTGCTTCAATTTTCGTTTCTAATGTTTTTTAGGTGAAAAAATTAATCTTGATAGTTTTTTGTTGTTCAAAATTGGTTATATTGGCTGGATCCCGCCACCACTCCATCGAAATATGATTCTTTAATTATTTTTAAAAAGGGATAATTACATATTTTTTCTAAAATTTAATTTTAACAATTTTATCCCAACTTTTTTTTTTTTTTCCAGTGAACACAATTTTAACTTAGTACATCACTTTTTTCAATTTTACTCTATTTATTTTTATTTATCCTAATCAATTTATGGTTCAATGGGACACCGATATTCAATTGTTATAAATTTTTATAGGTGTACGGTAAATATGTAACTTATTTTTTTTTTTCCAGACACTCTACAATTTATGAAAATGATAGATAGCATTTGAAAATTTTTAAGGTAATTGAATTGACAAATTACTAAACAACACCACTTCAGAAATTGTGAAAGTAATGCTTGATCGGTATTTATTATAAGGTATTTTGATTTGTGATGGGTTTCACTTAGTAAAATTTTTAAATTAAAAAAAATCTTAAAAATATTTCATTTTAATTATGAGAACATAATGAATGTGAAAATGTAATTTTAAGATTTTTTTTTCCAAACGAAAAAAACATACTAAGTGAAATTTAAAACAAATCAAAATGCCTTATGATAAGGATCAGATGGCGTAGATAACAATGGATTCTAATAAATGGATGAAAGAATCAAGGCGAACAATTTCAAGCAAAATAATAATAATAAAAGAAAAAAAAACATGTTGTGACTTTTACATTGATTCTGATTACTTTGATACTAAGAAATCAACAAATTATCAACCCAACAAACTTTCATTTGTTCAATAGTAATATATACTGAATGGCTAATTTTTCAACTGAACTTTATAAATATATGTGCTTATATAATTCTTTTTATAATTTTTTTTAGAAATTATATAATAATATATAATTCTAACAGAAAAATTGAATTTCAGAAATCACTAAACGATAATACCATACCATAAAACTAAAACAATAATACTAGTACCAGAAAAATAGCTTCTTGTTGTCCGTTGATGTTTTCGTCGACTTATCTAAGTGGATGAAAGGGTTGAGGTGAACAATTTCGACCAAAAAGAAAAATGAAAGATGAAAGGAAAACATGTTGTGACTTTTACATTTATAGTTTGATACTAACAAATCAATGAATATATCAATACAATAAAGCGCAAACTTCCATTTATTCAACAGGAATTCAATAGTTAAATTTTTAATACGTTCTAAAACCATATATGTGATTAGAATTTATTTCTTCTAAAACTTTATAACATTGAAAAATTATAATTTTGAAAAAAAAAAATGAACTTGATAAATTACCAAAAACTATGCCATTAAAAAAAAGAAGAAGAAAAAGAAGTGATATTTTCAATAGGATCCATTTTGTCCCTCGTTGACATTTTTGGCGACTTAAATAAGTTGACGAATACAACGATACCAGTAGTTTTTTTAAAAAAAATAGAAAAACATTTTGAAGCTTTTATTTTGATAGTTTGATACAAATAACTCAATAGGAATCCACTCAATGGTTTAATTTTTTTTTTTTTGGGGGGGTATGTTATCAATCGGTGATTACAATTTATCTTTCCCAAAACTTTATTATTTATGTAAACAACATACACCTTTGGAGATTTTAATTGTAAAATTTAAGTTGATAAATTAAAAAATATACCATTAAAATTTGAAAAAATAGGCCCAAATCCAATCCATATTTGCATTTCCTGTCTATCGGGAACATGACTTCATAATGGCATTTTTTTATACTTCATAAAGTAATTTGCATTTTTTAAATACAAATTTCACAATTCAATACGAACTATTATTCTATTAAGACGAAGGGAGTAGTATTAAACTTGAAGACTATGAACTACAACAACTAAATGTCTGGTTTGTTTATATTAAACAATACTAATACAATAAATATGACCATTATTTTAGAACAATAAACCATATGCTTTATAAACAAAATTTTCATCATTTGGGTTGACTTTCTTACACCGGCACTATGTATACTTATATGCTACTCCCTCAATTTAGACTTTTTTTTGGGACGGAATAGTATTAGTTAGCTTCTGAAGTATTATTGATCATGAGGAAAATCATTCAAGAAAAAAGTCCATGAATCTGTCAAGTTGAAGTTAATTTGAGACTTGGAACATGCCAATTGCAAGCTGGCTTGGAAAATGCAACCTCATGAAAGTCAATGAATTATTATTGTTAGTATCTTCCTTCTTAAAATTTTAATAGTCACAATAATAACAATTTAGGCTGGACCATTGGACTATTGGGGTGGCAAAATAAAGAAGAATTTCTCAATATTGCTTGCTATAAGTTGCAGCTGGTTAACATTACAAAAATTGCAGCTTTATAATTGGAGTACTACAAATCAACGAGAAAAGCTCGCCAATTGATCGATTCACGATGCTGCCCCAAATGTTACACTTAACAATGAATTAATAGCATGCATGACATGAGCCAATAGGGGGTTCCATGCTCCAAGGGATTCACAGAACAACCATAAACCAAGTCGAGTAAAATAGTATTCCGATCAGATTATATATTTATAATGCATTTATCAGAACTCTATTCGATCATTTAGTATTAGTAATTTGCATCTCAAAATAATTTGAGAGATAAAAACTAGAAAGAACGTATCGCTTAGTAAAAATAAATAACATTAAACATCGCATGTCTACAAACACACTTACAAGAGAAGAGAATTTCACAGCTAACTGTTTGGCCAGCATATCCAACTATGGCGGGGGATATATCTCATTTTGTGAACCACCAACGGTTGTAAAACCATGGCTTATCCATGATGTCATAGGGATGTCTTACCCCCGACTTGTAATTTTATGAATTTAGGTTTTTAGCCTCCTTGTTATATGTACTAAAAAAAATTAGGTACCTAATTGTTGAAAGTTGAAACTTTTGAAACCCCTTACATCATCATAAATTTTTTCTTAATATTGTGGATATATCTAAATAAAATAACTATTTAAAATGACATTAGAAGGGGAAAAAAAAAAACACATAGAATCAACCATCCCCACCGAGAAACTAATACATTTACGCTGATTAATTAAATACCTTGTCCTTATCATTACATGACATCTAATCTTAATTAAGATAGGACTACCAATTTATAGTATTAAAATGAGTAAAATTGATGTAAGATTCCGTCATCTTTGACACCCAAAAATTGTCCCGTTCTCGAACTTCTCATTGTAACCGATCATCGACCAAATGATTAAGAAGAGGAACAAAGATATATATTAACAACATTTGACCTCTTCCGGCAACTAAAATATTTAAATTCTAAGCCAACGCAATAGAACCTTCATTGTGTAGCGTGTCGACACTCTATTTGTTTGATCTAAGTGTGAGATTATTATTATCAGTGGCAGAATCAGGATTTCATAAATACAAGAGTAAAATGATCAAAATTTTGATTTGTAGGAACGAAAATATCAAATTCTATTTAAATTAAAATTTGAAAGAAATCTTTATAAAGAAATTTTGACGAGAGGGGACGATCCCTGCTGCTGGTTCCTACCTTCACCACTGATTATTATGGGAATTTTATAGATTGGGGACAGTTGGCTGACCGAAATGCGTAGTTAAACTCGATTAATCTATATTTTCAGCAATTCATAGAAGCAGAAGAAAAAAAAATTCAATATTTTTACTGGCTTCTAGCCTTCTACCATATCAAGTATTGAAGATTTTTAAATTACTTCCTTGGTTCAAAAAAACATGATTAATTGTCAGTTTGTTGTTATTCTTGTGGATCGATCCAGCGATATAACTAGTTTTTCTCCGATTTGATCGTTGACTCTTGGGCTTGTTGTGGACCGATCCAGCGGTATAACTGGCTTTCTCTCATTAGAGCATTGACTCGTAGATTTTCTGTTGTTGTTCCTATTCAAGTCTATTGGGCAAAAAGTTCAAAAACCCATTGCACTTGAGAGAGGATGTTAAAGTGTGTTATCTGTCCCACATCGTCACTATAAAAAGAAGTGATTCTGTATATAAGTGTCAAATGCTATCCCACTCACAAATTGGTTTTGAGATGGAAGTCAAAAATACTTATATACTTTAACAAAATAAACAAGCCGTTTATAAAGTCTCTCACATCAACATCTCTAATTCTTGAAGTAAAACTCTTACCGCGCGTCTTACAAATGCAAAAGGTTCAGAACAAACAAACTGATTTCCGCGCGTTTTTTTAAATGGAGCACTGAACCGAGCCATTTTCACGGGAAAATAATTATTAAATAGTTTTTCCTCTTAATAAATAGTTCAATGCAAAAAAAAAAAAAAAGATTTTAGATAGTCCAAGCCCCGTGCAAATAAGAGCAAATTTATTATTTTCTTCAAAAAAAAAGAACAAATTTATTTAAAATATTGCATTAACCCGTGTAACGATTTACCTAGTAGCTAGTAAAAGCTTGAATCAACCAATGCATGTATGATGTAGTTAGGGTTCATGTGAAGGAGTAAATATAAAAATTCACGTATTTGACCAAGCAATTAATTAGTGCACGGGACGTGCGGAGAAAGAAAACAAAGAGAGGGTTGAATGAATGAATATAGTATACATGTACTACAACACTTAAAAAAAAAATTTAAAAAAAAAATTCAAAAAGAAACGGGCAAAAGAATTCCGTGTTAGAGAGAATAGGAAAAGACGTTACTCACATGAAAGTAAACGTAATAGAAAAGGATGATGTATGCGCCATATACTGACACAGAGAGATACACAACCGTTGACATGTTTTCATAACAGTAGTACTTCCGCCGTTTCATAATTATTGTTCAGTTTGAATTTTCATTTCTGATTTAAATTGTACTAAAAGTGAAATTTTAAACTAGATAATGATGATTTTACGATAGAGAGATTACTAATTAAAACCTTAATTACTCCGCACATCATCTACCAATCTCTTCTTCAATTCACTAATATATTTTATTTTTTTATTTTGCTTAAGAAAGCTGTTGATGATGATGATATGAATGATCAAAATGCATCTTCCCTTAATGATAACTCCACCCTTCAAATTCGTTGACTTCACACCACCCCCCTCTTTAGTTTTTTCTTTTCTTGAGCTATCAAAAAATGCAAATTGCTATTTTTCTAATTTGATGACGAAAATGGCTAATAGCCTTCTTCTTCTTCATCCATCGCCAAATCACAAGCTGTGTGAAATATAGCATAGCACAATGAACGTAACAAGCACCGGCGGCGGGTTCTTGGGGTCGGAGAACATCGGAGGATTCGGGTACGGAATCGGAGTATCCGTCGGAATCCTCCTCCTAATCACCACAATCACACTTGCTTCTTACTACTGCACCAGAAACAGCCAACAAGTTCCGACCACAGCTTCATTACCTCTTCACAACAACAACATTAATCATCATCATCCACAGCAAGGCCCACACCATATTGTGGAAATGGGGCTGGACGAAGCCACGCTTTTGAGTTACCCAAAGATTTTGTACTCGGAAGCCAAGCTGAAGAACAAAGACTCCACGGCGACTTGCTGTTCCATTTGTTTGGCGGATTATAAGAACAGTGATACTTTAAGGGTGTTGCCGGACTGCAGCCATCTCTTCCATTTGAAATGCGTTGACCCTTGGTTGCGCCTCCATCCCACTTGCCCGGTTTGCCGGACTTCGCCGTTGCCGACGCCGCTTTCCACCCCTTTGGCGGAGGTCGTCCCCCTTGCCACCAGACCTCTCGGCTGATTAACTAGCTAGTTCGACCAGGCCCATTAGGGATTCAATCTCTGCTTCTTAATTCTTCTTCCCCCCTCCATGTAAGAGATGGAACCAAATTTGTAGATTCTCCTCTTTTCCCCCTTTTTTCAATTATATCTTTTTGATAATTACTGATGTAGTGATATTAATTGTTATTCTGGATATTAGAATTTTGAACAGATCTACCTTGATGAATTTACTCTCTCTTTTTCTTTTTTTTTCCCCTTTTTTATACAATTCTTTGTATCCTAGCAATTACTCACTCTGTTTCAAAATTATTATTCACTTTAGATTTTCAATTTTAGTGCAAATCGAACTAAAAGTGATAATCAAAGTGAACAATAATTTTGGAACAAAGAGACTACATCCAACATTTTCTTTTCTCTTCTTTTTTTCCTTTTTCCATTTTTTTTTTTTTTGCGGTAATCGTAATTGCTACTAATGCACATGCATTGTATCTTTAAGTTTCATGTAAAAAAATGTCAACAAGAAGCTGCATAAGTTTTATCTATTGAGTAATAATTTATTTTAGCTATGAACTTAATGTTCCAAAATTAGACTATTTTGGTATATTGTCTGAATTAAAATGGCATACACAACTTCAGATCAATATATGAAAACTATTATATTAGGTTTAAAAAACCAACAAATCAGTAGACACAAACATTTTGTTTCTTAAAGACTGAACTTTTGAATGTCTATTAAATCTAAATTGATTTTTAAAATGTGTATAGATTAAAACAACTGCTGCTTGTTAATGTTTTGTTCTCTTCTGTTTATTTTTTTTTTTAGTATGCGTTTTTAAGTATTTTTTATATTGAATAAATAAAAAAATATATTAAAAATATAAAAAAAGTATACTGAGATAGGGCAATTATTAATAAAAGAATCTGAAAAACCAACCAAAAAAGGAAACAAATAAAATTAAATTTAGCATGTGTGTGTTGATATCTTCGTATTCTGGAATACAAAGAGATATAGTGGTAGCAAAACAAAACAAAAGTATCTCCATCGAAACACATTTTATGTCCGCTAATTCGTATTAGTATACGACAAGAAAAACTACAATTTCCTCCGATTGGAATTGAGCACGATTTCTGGTGTCTATTTTATTTTTATTTATTTTTTGTCACTGATAAAATCAGCAGAAAAAAAGTTGGGGTGGGAGATCCTCAAAAAAATAACTGGATATTTAAAAAGCATTTGATTTGAAGAGAGTGTAGCCATGTATGTAGAGAGTATAGACGGTCAATGGTTTGGATTCTTGGCCAAGGAAAACGTTACATTATACTACATTTCATTAATTATATTTATTCTCTTAAAAAAAAGAAGAAGAAGAAGAAGAAGAAGAGGAAATTAGTCAATTAAATTTGAAGAAGACACCGAATAGATTCGATACTATCGCATTGTTGACTAGTAGTTGTTGCTGTTGGTAGAAATTGACAAAGTCGAGAATCGGAAGGAAGGGGGGTTGTCCAGGCTGTTCGATTAGGTTATGCTAACTCCAACGAACCGACCAATAATTATACTCTTTACAATTTTCTCCAAAATTACGCATACCATATCTTAAGGTATATACAAGTGCAACTTGGGCCATCTTAGTTTAAAATACTACCATAATTCCCCCTCCCAAATATTTTACTATTTCATATGGAAACTGCTCAAGAATTGAAAATAATAACGACTTATGCTTGCAAAATAAATAAATATAATAATAACAATAATAGCCAAGAGTCCAACCATTGACAACTGGAATTTTGTTTCAATAATTGGTGAAATATTATAACCAATCATTGATTAAATGGAGAATAATAAATTTATTTTTTGTGATTACCTAGAAAAGAAAAAAAAAGAAGAAGAAGACCTTAAGCATGAAGAAGTTTGGTAATAAAGGATTAATCACAATTAGAACTAGGTTCTTAGCCTTAGTACAACGACTTATGACTATAACCTTAACTGAATGATTATGAACTTGGTTTCGGTTTAATCATAATCATAAGTTTATCACTTGTAATAATACATAATTTTTCTTTACAATAAAAACATCGATGAATCAATGGCATACTAATTTTAATAAAACGTTATTATATAAATTCTTATGAAATTGGAGAGATAATAGTCACTTCAATGATTATTTCACCTCTGATTGGTAGAGGAAGCAAATTGGTCGATTTATCACAATATTGAGTAAAAGTCTTTGGTTACAAGTGTTGAGGGGAAGGACTTTATTTATTATCTTCCGAGGGACATATACGTAAGGGAAATTTCAATTGGGATTTGATTTGTAGTTTCATTAAACCTCGAGGAGATCAGTGTAATTTACCCGTATAAAATTATCTTTAACACCGCGGCTTCGGAGCTACCAAATAATTCGATTACGCTTTGCTTCTCTCCTCGTGCAAAGAATTCTCCTCTTCCTCTGTGTTGTTCCTTCCTAGGGTAACAATGGCGAAGTTACAATTCAATCTTGTTGGAATCTCGCTCTTGGTGTTGATTTGTTTACTTGTTCCCTCGAGTTCCGCCCGATCAACCAGCGTCAAATACTGCTGTGAGTTTCTATTTCGATTTCTTATGTTTTGCGGTTCTTTTACCCTTGCCCATAAGTATCTTGATCAGGAGTTATATAATAAAGTCGAATCCAGTTAAACAAAGAAGCTCGGAAATTTCAATTTAGCGGTTGGATTGACGAAAGATACTGTTATAAGATTGCATGTCTAGGTTTGCTTCGGAATTTTGGTCAAGTTTGGGGCTTTTTCAATTCCCTGTAAATGGCTAGATTTAAGTTCTGTTGGTGTTCAATTGTGATTGATTGTTCACTAGGAAGTTATGCTCTTTGATATTAGCTGTAGAGTTATCTGTTTTGGTGCTTGATTTTGGATTATATCGAACGCGGTTACAATTTTGCAGCCAAGAAGGACTATCCTGTGAAAGTCAGCAGCGTTGACATTAACCCATACCCTGTGCAGAGGGGCAAAGAAGCAAAATTCAGCATCTCTGCTTCTACTGGTAAAGATCGCACCTTGTTTCTGTATCTCTCCTGGGTTTTCTTTCTCTCTTTTCTGTAATAAAAAAAGGGGGCGTCCATTAGGTCTCATCGGTGTGTCCATTTTTACTAATATTTCATATCCTTGGTTCCTTATAGAGAAGTTTGAGCCTTTTATTTTCTCTCTAATGAATGGCAGTTTTGGTGGTGTTCATTGCATACTGTTTACTATCACTGTCACTCTATTGCAGTTTACTGCATAAGTCAATATTATATGGCCAAAGAGCTTAGACTTAGAAGAGAAAGTTGAGAGATTTCGGTCATCAGTGCGTTTTCTTTTTGATGATAGAAATAGCTTACATGCTGTATTCTATTTTTCCGGTTCTAGAGGTCTTTTTTACAAGTAGTATGCAAGTTTTTATTTTGCCATTAGAGTGGAGAGCAGGCTTAAGTCGGATGAAATAATGTTGAACAATTTTATGTTTGGGAGATTGAGTTAAATGTTTTATTGGAAATCTGCAGATCAACCCATCTCTGGAGGAAAACTTTTAATTGATGTTAGCTACTTTGGGTTGCACATCCACAATGAGAATCATGATCTTTGTGATGAGACCACTTGCCCTGTTGTTAAAGGAGATTTTGTGATTGCTCACTCTCAAGTGTTACCTGGATATACACCACCAGTGAGTGTCTCATCTCTATTTTAGAAGCTGTGTTTGTGCTAACATTTAATTCTCGGGTATGACTACCCTGTGCTATAATGCCTAATCAGATGAGTACCTGATGCATGCTGCTTTTCTGTTGACAAAATGGATGCATTACTTGTTTGTCATGTGAGGATGTATTCACCAGGCATTTCTGGGCGCCGTGCATGCATTTACTTCGTGTGACTTAAGTGACCTTTGTGAATTGGAATGTTTTAGCTGCTTCAAGTGATTCTCTTTTATAATTGACTCATTCGTTTCTCTGGGACACGGTATTCTTTTAGGTCCAGTTTTGCATCCCCTCGCATGTTTTTAATTTTTATGGTGAAACCATCCAACTAATCAGGCTGAATTAACATTTCTGTTGGAGCTAAAAAGCATTAGTAGATGCATAATATTTTTTTTTTTGTCCCTGTTGATGATAATCACCGGCTCACATGTTTCCATCTAATCCAGGGTTCTTACACATTGAGAATGACATTGTCGGATGGCAAGAACCAATTGACATGCATCAACTTCGACTTCAGCATTGGCTTCGCGACATCAGATGCTGTGGCTGACAGCTGAGCTTGCTGCTTGAGCACAATGAAGATTGATCATAACTTCGCCATCACGCCTTTATAATAATGTACTGTATATAAACATCTATTGTTGCTTATCTACTGTTGTTTGATGCTAAACTAAAGGATCGCTGTTACTGCTTTTTGAAAGAAACACGGACGCACATTGGGGAGGACAATTTTAGTTTGCTCATTTTGTGAACTGTTGAATGAACTTTTTCAGCTTAATTTTGTGTGTGGTTAGTGACCTAGACAGTAGAAACAGATCCTTTAGGCTGTTTACGGTCACCAACTCAGCATAGAGATCGATACCTGCAAAACTGCTGGTTGGAAACTAAACTCAAAACTGTTCAATTTACTGAACAAATGACTACTTATGTGCGGGATCTAGCCGTTAAGAGTATCTATAAAGAGGCTAAAAATTCTAAACACAATTAAATAGCTAGCTAGCCAAATGTAAAGGGCATCAGGTCATTAAAGAAAGGGCTGAGAGCATCTTATATATTATCATTAAAGAAATCCGGTGGTTGAAAGCAATTGAGTAGCTAAAGTCATGATATCGATTTAACATTAAAGAAATCTGGTGGTTAATGAGATTCTTTTACCATTGACAACTTTAATAGAGCATGGTATAAAGAATTCATGTGGGTAAGTTTATACACCCACCTTATTAAGACGTCAAGAAATTGTGAATCTTACAAAGTTTTGTTGGTTTCAATTTTCATTTGGATTCGTAAACAGTCCCCATCCTTGATCGAGTTTAAATTGTTCTCGTCATATCACAAATCGTAATCCTTCTTATCAATGCAACACTGCGAATTCTTTTTCTGAGCGTTGACAGATTGAGACAACACTCGTGCCCTTCAATAGAAAAGGGCTCAACCACTATGTAGACTATGGTCTGCTTTATATCCAGAAATTCTATCGAAGAAAAAAAAAAGAAAAAAGAAAAGAAAAGGTTGGTCCTCTTGAGTGAACGAAATGATGAATGGTGGCCACCCCCATTGTCTCCCCGGCAAACTAGTCTGGTGCCAATGTATCCTCTTGCACCAGTCCTATCATCATCACTTAGCCGTTTCCAGGTTTCAATCAACAATGTAGATTGAGTGTAGGTCCCTTTTCCTTCTATCATTTCGGACCGTCGATCATGTCCACTCCGGGACTTGGAAGAGAGCTTTGTATTTTGCTCATCTTTTTTTTAGGCGATTACCACTTTATCCTGTCCAGTCATGATTGAACCATCTTTAAAAGGTGATTTACAATTGGGCTTTTCTTCCATATACTATGCTACTACTTTCCAATCACTGGAAATCAGAAAATAAGGTCGAATTAACAGTCAAGTTTGACCCTTGAGCAGCACTTTGAGCTTATAACAATTGGTCTTTTTGTACAACTGTTGAAGTATACACAGAAGCAGCATATTTTAATGGAGTGTTCATTAGGATATGTTGCAGCAGTCAAAGAAAGGTAAGTTAATTGTAGAAGGTGTGGGGAAAAAGTCATGAAAGGAAGAGTTATAAAGAAATTGAAATCCATCCCAACCATCAGCTCCCTTAGCTTGGTGTTTCGAACTCCCAGTTTCTCAGAGCGATACTTCCAAACTCCATTGCCATCATCTTCAAAAGAATCCGGGCAAGATAGCCAATCAGAGCAAGAGGGTTACTGTAACAGCTCCACTGAGGCCATTATTATTAAGGATGGTGAAGAGCAAGATTTACAGGGTCCTGGGCCATGTTATCAGAATGTCAAAGAAGATGCTAGATCAAAGAAAACTGAGTCCCCTGCTGAAAATTCTCTGGTGGAAGCTGGTGAATCAGCTGATGATCTGCAGGAAGTGAACATCAAAAATGAAAAGGGCTGCCCTGAAGAAGAATCAAATGTTCAATTGTTGCAAGAATTTGAAGAAAAATGTCCTCCCGGAGGAAATGAATCCGTTGTTTTCTACACGACAAGCATGAGGGGAATCAGGAAAACGTTCGAAGATTGCAATGCAGTAAGGTTTCTGTTGGAAAGCTTTCGAATTGAGTACAAGGAAAGAGATGTTTCCTTGCATTTGGAGTACAGAGATGAGCTATGGAAGGTTATGGGAAACAGGGCAGTTCCTCCAAAGCTATTCATCAGGGGAAGATACATTGGAGGAGCTGATGAAGTAGTTGGATTGCATGAAAGGGGAATGTTGAAGAAGCTTCTTCATGGGATTCCTCGGACTCCAAACAATACAGCTTCTTGCAAAGGTTGTGCCGGAGTTCGATTTGTTCTGTGTTTCACCTGCAATGGAAGCCGGAAGATTGTCATCAACCGTGATGATGATGATGAAGTGGTGTCTAGATGCCCGGATTGCAATGAGAATGGATTAGTCAAGTGCCCCATTTGCAACTTGATCGACAAATGAATTTAACCTTTTATATGTTCTTTAGGAATGTTTGATCTTGATCCTGTGTATATAATTAAGAGCTTCAGTTAATTTCATGTCCTATCGTCCTGATCAAAATCTCATATCCAATTTCCAGTACCTGCATATTTACTTATCGTTGCTTTTCAACTCTTTGCGAAAGCATTAATATTCTGGAGAACGCTTTCGATTTCGTTTTAGTTGTATGGAAGTTATATATGTTCAATTGTTAGTATAAATGAATTTGTATGGACTATGGAGTTTGCATTCAGGAAACACGACGTCTATGTAACTGAAGTTGTATGGAGTTTGCGTCCAGCAAAACTGCTTAAGTTGTATAGAGGTTGTAACTAAAGTTGCACATTTATACCCAAAAAAAAAAATAATACTAATAAAAATAAAAATAAAATTATAATCATAATAAATGTATAGAACATATTCCGGTAACATTCTAGTTAAAATATTAGGTTCATATCTGACCTAAAGGCATACAAGGCATAAGATTAATTACACTGGTAGATGCGTTACACTCACATGGAGTGACTTTTTCAAAGCATATTTCCAAAAGTGCTATAGCTCTTCTATTCTAGGTGTCGTTAAACTTAGATACAGTGATTATAGTTTGTCATTTAGGGTCCTTCTACTTCATAGATTGGTTAATTTAATTTATATTCCACCAGATTCCGTGTTCCTAAGGAATAACACGCACATAATTTGAAGTACATTTTATGATTAGTACGGCAATTGAGATAATTATTTTGAGACGTAGAAAGTGAGTGCTATGTAAGCGAATTTAGCAATATTTTGCTCACTGCAACCGCTGGCATTAGTTGGTGCCTAAGAATATTTCATGCATGCAAACATGCAAAGTTCGATCATTTTGTGGCCATCCGATTCCGATCCAATTATTTGAATAGTTGAACCGTAACTTCTTAGAGCAGACCAGAAGAATATACTTGGTGAACGGTGCTGCTGATGTGATATTCTGATAGCTTGCAGGGTCCCCAAATACATTATTTTGCAGTTGGCCTGAATAAAAATTGTAAAAGAAACTTTGGACGTAACTCGTAAACAAAACAGCAAAACCTCCTGACCTAAAAAGCCTCTCTTCTGGAGAATATACCTACCGTATAGAATCATTTCGAAGGCTACAAGTAGAAGACCGATTTCAAAAAAAAAGGGTTGCCTTTACAGCTGAACAATCAACAATGGTACTGGATACAGGCACGTGAATAAATGAATATGCTATCCTGACCAAAGAGTAAACTAATGATTCAACCAAAGAATCAAAAAGACATGGTTGTGTTTTGGGTTCTATTCCCTGTGGCCCTTCTATTCCCACGCCAACATCCTTCCTTTTACCCTTTAAGACCATAGAGGCGGTGATAATTTTTTAATCACGTTGACTGTAAATTCCTATGGCAAGACCATTGATCACTATCACTTAAGAAATCACTTGAATTGATTCATTCTACCCATTTAAGTATTGTATTAGCTAGAATCAGAATACCTGAACCCAGTCAGGACATTTTATAATCATAAAGTGCAGCACCCCACTGATTGCGGGGATTCTGCACATCATCCTATTAGGGGTAAAAATATAGTATAAATTATTACAACAAAAGAGCACAAAAGCAGAACCTTCTAGTTCTAGTTCTAGTCAAGATGGGGGATATGGTCAAAACTGCATTGAGAACTAGAAACACATTAATTATGTCATTTACAAAAGTATGCCCATTTAAGGGCACAAGCAGTTCACGCACAGACCAAAATGACACATTTTCCTTAAGCAATAAGGAGTACAAAAAACATAACTACCCTCTTACGACTTACAACCCACCTATGCATGGTGAATTTGGCACCCTTCTTAACCGCATTCACCAAATATCTCTAATGGTAAAAACAAGGTAAACAACTTTAAGGACTAACTTTGCTTCTCTCTATCAAATTTACAGTTACAAGCACTATGCAGAACTATGGAAGGTTAAGAAGTCACTTCAACTGACCGGTGCGGCTTCTTCCACCTCAACTGCTTCTAGCTTGACTGGTGCCGCTTCTTCCACTGGTGGAGTAACAGGAGCTACTGGTTCTTGTAGCTTAGTGAAGTGAAATTCGATCTGCAGCCGATGGTGAACGGGAGTCGATTTGATCAACCCCTTCTTCATATCAGCCTGCAGTTCCCTAATTGGAATGGCAGCCAAGAAGTTCTTAATATAATCCTTGCAAGACTCTTTACCTTGACAAACCACTGCTTCTTCTCCCTCCTCACTCTTCATTGCCTCAGATTTCACTGAAGAACCCTCTGAGCTTCCCTGCTCCTGAGAGGGGTTCTTTGGCTCCCCTGTTGCTGCTGCTGCACTGATGGGCTGGTCACCTACAGACTTTTCCTGTCCCGAGCTTGATTTAGTATCAGGAACTTTGTAGATGGCTGTGTTTCTGTCAAATTTAAGTATGTAAGCCTGGTTGCAGCCTTCGTAGAGTCTCTCTCCCAATGTATCAATTATGTAGTAAGCTTCGGTGTCAACCTTGAGCACAAAGAAGTGATCATTCCAACTGACGACATAAACATGAGGTTCACCATCACTTGAACAGTTTGAAGGAGGGTTGCTTATCTCTTCCCAGATATTGTCAAATGACATGGCACCTTGAAGAAAATCAAATCTTCCCTCCTCCATCCCATCTGGGTAAAAGAAACCAACAAAAGACTTTCCAGGGAGAACAGAAAGAGAACGAATTTTGGCTTCAAGGACAGTCTCCAAATCAAAGTGCTTATCAGGGAATCGCTGCATGTAAGTTTCGTTCTCACACAGGTTCCTCCATTCGAGAGAACCTTCCCTGATCAAGCTGTCAAATTGTGATTTAATGGGCATATAATCGCGATTACTTTGTAACCAATCAGCAATCACAGCAACAAGGGCTGTACATGCACTCTCTCCTGCAGCCCGCTCACTGCGCTGGTCAATGGAAGCAAAGAAGACCTGAGTCTGAAGCTTCAAGAATCCATCCCGGCTCATTATTTCTTTCTGTTCCCAGCTGCCAACAGCGAAGTTGTCATCTCCAAAATCAGATATCGATGACCGATGGGCACTAGACTCCTCATCTGTCTTGCGCCACTGCCAAAAGAAATAAAACATCATAAATATCAAATCTATTTGACCGTAACAGATGTAAAAGGAAACCGGGTATTTAAAAACGTGTACAAGTTGCCATCAAATGTCCAAATCTCAACATTAAAACCAGTAAGATTTGTTGGAGTTCCTCCTTTTTCAATTTTAGAAAAAGTTCTGATGGAGCTCCTACCATACCTCACTGCTCCATACATACCCCAGAATATTTACTTAAAATTATAGCAGAGTGACGCTTTCTTACCCAGAAAGAGAAAGATTCATCCGAACTGAGCTGCCTCCGATCATAATCAATGTCATCTCCACCTTCTTCTCCACAATCCTTCTTAAGCAAGGGCTCTCCTTTGGCTTTAGGAGATCTAAAGCTCAGCTTCCTCTTCCTCCAAGGTAATATACTCCGTTTCGTATTCTGCACAACGGACGGCTCAGGAACTGGTGCAACAGGATCCTCACTACGTGCACATCCAACATCCGATTTCCGATTACTGTAGTAAATCCAATCCTCATCATTATCATTAATCACAGAATTTGAATAAAAAGACCCTCCTGCAAAATTTGCATAAGCTAGAGTTCCATAACTAAATGACTTCCTAATAGTTGGGTCCTCCTTGCCATCATCAGATTCTCTTTCATCAAAATCATCAAGTGAATCTGTATCAAATGGGTATCCATAGTCACCCTCTTCACTCTTGGCAGAACATCTGCCCTCGCTAGCTTCTTCCTCGCGGCAAGCCTTTTTTGCTCTCCTGGTTGACACATAGTCTGTGAAAATTTTAACCTTCCTGAGACCAGCTTTAAGTGCTGAAAGCTCATCTTTCTCAGTAGAGGAAGTATCTGCTGACTGTGTAGGAGATGGAATAGGAAAAACTGTCCTCTGCACTGATTCCGTTGAATCTTGCAAAGCTCTTAATTCCAACAAGCTAAGTGATATCTGCATCCAGTAGAAAATAATATTAAACATGATGATCCAACACACAGCCATCAAGGGTTTGAGTATGATCGAGGGAACATATGATCGAGGGCTTGAGTAAGCATACATTGAGTAAGAGGCGAGACTCAGATACACTGCCTGAGAGCGCCAGCGGAATATTAAGGTTAAACTCCTCTGGAGCCTTGACAGCAAATTCTGCAAGATTCAAGGCCACTGTTCCTAGAAGAGAGCTCTTGCTTTTTGCCCCTTGATTCAAACCCTGAAAGGATAATTCAATCATGCTAAATTGAAAAGGCAAAAATTTAACATCAAGATATCCAGCAAATATAGAGCATTTAAAGAAAATCCGACACGTAATTAACAATGATCTCATAAAAATGCTTATCTGTATCCAAGGCGGTGAAAGGCATGCCGCAAATGGGGATATTTATTTTTATTTTTTTTAAAAAAAAAAACAGAAAATTAAAAATAAAAAGTTAGGGCTTTTCATCCCATTAAATGACGCATAGTCGCAATTAACATCATCATTTAAACGCCGTTACAACGCTAATTGTTCAAAAAATACAGCTAAACGTCACCAACATAATGCACCAATCATCAAATTTGTTGCGTGCCAAATCGGACAACCAGGCCCCCAAACAAGACAATAAATTCCAAGCCCTCAAAAATTTATCTCCGCGCACATACAGTTTGTAGACACCACGCGAAAGAAACTTGATTACACATTCCGAACCCTAAAGTTCAAGTAGTAAAATCATACATCAACTCACAATTGTCAAATACATACAGCTTGCAGATGCCAAGTTCATTTAAGACGCATCGAAAAAACAATACACATCGAATTCACTTCTTTAAACCTAAACAATGTTTTAGATTCACTTCATTAAACCTAAATATGAATATGAGCATCTCAAGAAAAACAATGATTCACATAACAAATAACCGACAAGTAATCTATGACAAGAGCAATTCTAAGAACTCCAGCCTATAACAACCTCTACTAAAGATCATCAAAGTATATGCAAAATTTCCCCACAGAATAACCATTTACAACAAGCTTATTTCATTCAAATATTATGCAAATATAACAAGAAAAATAATAGCATGCATTTCCAAGACAGAGGATTCAGGTATCCCAACAACACTGACAAAGGCAATATTTCTGAAACTGGGAGGGGAAAAAAAAGGTAGGTACAAGCCCCCAAAGTCTCCCAAGCAGCTGAGATACTTGGTCTACTTTCTTTCATTCATTAAAAGGTACCAAAATCCAAATGCAGTCCTAGTTGACATTGATGATATATCCAACGAAACACAGATGAATTATTCAAACATCCAAACAGAGAAATAAACAATCCCCCCTCCCCCAACACACACACACACACACACACACACACACAGACAAAGGGCAAAGGATCAAAGAAATTGAATGGGAAAATAACAGGGTTTCACCAAAAGAACCAACTTTAACATTGCAAGCCCCTACGGAATACATCCCACATACAATTCACATACTGTAATCCCCAAACAGAAAGTGAAAGCATCAAAACGAAACCGCATGATAATAAGCAATAAAATCCACTAAGGAAAATTCAAGCTTTTCTTTTTATTTCCAAAACAAAAAAAAATAAAATAAAATAAAAAGAACTCACGTTGGACAACACGGCCAAAGAAACCTCCCAAGGATGAAACACATTGTCCTTGTACACAGAGAGGCTGCAAACGCTCTGAAATTCCTCGCCCCACTCCACCAAAAGCGCCGCGTTTTCAGGTGGACCACCGCCACCGCCGTCCGCCTCCTCCTGAGCCTCCTTGAATTTGAGACACTCCTCCTTAGTAGAGAACTTCCTGGCATTTAATCTCCGGAATGTGCTGAGGGCGATCTTGGGGCCCTTCCACCTGATCTCCACCGTTAATCCCGGCGGAGGAGGTCCACCACCGTCTTTATCAAGGGCCGCATGCACCAATTCATTATTACAATTCACCAAACCTTCCAATCTGTTCACTTTTAATGTCACCGAGTATTTCTTCGAATGCAGCGGCGGCCATGGCCGCCACTTCATCATCTTCACCACCATTCCCACCTCCTCCTCCTCCTCCAATTAATATATGTAAAAAAGAATCAGCCAAAAAAAAAAAAGGAAAAAAGAATTGAATCAATCTTTCCCCAATATCAAATGTAGGTTTGGGAAAAAGATCTGGGGAGGCCACATAGGAATATATATATTTTTTTTCTGGGGGAAATACAATTGAATGTGGGTTATATCTGACGGTTTTTATCCGCAGAAAAGGTGTTTTCAGAGAGAGTGTGTGAGAGTGTGTGTGTTTTTCTGTGTATATAAAAAGAAAGGGAGAGGAGGAGGAAAGAATATGCCGTTATGTAATGTTGCTGTGAAAAGAGTTTTAGAGAGAGAAATGGTTTGTGGGGAAGGATTTTACCAACTTTATATAGAGAGAGAGAGATAGAGAAGATGGTGCTTTCTGGGTGGGACGGCAGGTTTAATCCATTTGACAGCCCAGACCACAACTCCAATGTCATTCTCTCTCTCTTTTTTTTTTTTTAAAACCTTTCTTTAATAACCTTTCTTTAATTAATTAATTACAAAGTTAGTCATAAAAACTCATGAGCTTTACCCAAAGAATCCAATTAAAAAAAAAATGTACTCTTTGTGTTGTTCAAATTCAATTACTCGGTATATTATGCGTGAGTAGATCCTAAATTAAGTATCAAAATAAAAAAAAAGTGAATCTTTTTATATTTAAACTATTCTTTTCATTTTGATTTTGATTTTTGTTGTAATCAAATATTTATAAATTATTAGTAACTTTAAATTGTATTTAAACGTTGAAAATTATTGTGCACTTTGAGATTTCAGTTTTAGTACAATTTGAATTAGAAATAAAAATCCAAACTGGATAATAATTATGGGACGGAGGGAGTAACAAATACATTGGTGGCATATGAAATGTTATTTACAAATTTCAATCAGTTTAAATAAGCATGAATTTTTTTCATTTGGCCGGAAATGGATCACTTGGAAAATTTTGAAAAGCGAGTTTCGGTTAAAGTACGTGGTACTTTATAGAACTTGGAACCGTGGGTTAAGTGTGAAGTGTGAACTGGAGGGGGGGTGGGGGATGAGTTTGAAGTTCGTGGAACTTGTGTTTTTAATGTTGTTTGGTCAGTCTAATCAGTAGCTTTAGCTGACTAGCTCAGTTGGGTTTATTAACGGCGTTTACGGAAGTAGTTGACTTGGTTTGGGCTTCTGTGTTTTATTAGTTTTAATTTATTTTAGAAAGAAATTTAAAAATCCCATTTTTTAGAAATGGGTGTGTGTGTGTGTTTTAAGGTGAAGAAAGTGAAAGTGAAAGAAGGCAAAAGACTGAGAGGGATAGTTACGGCGGTGGTAACGGTGGGATGAGTCTGAGTTTAGGTACAGAAATCCCAGTTCCCAAATCACATTATCTTCAATTTTTCTTTGATTATTTTATTTTTATTACCTTTTCCTAATTTTATGACGCCATATTTCATCGTGCTTTGTTTTAAATTCTTACTGCTTAACCAACAGTGTAAGATGAGGTGAATTAAATGTGGGTTTAGGTGAGTTTTTCTGAACTTGGGAAACGGTGCACGCCAAGTGTTTTTTTCCTCTTATTTTTTGCGGTTCTTAGCCACGTGGGAAAATTTATGCAAAATCTGATTTTTTATCTTCCTTGCAAACCTCATCTCAAGTCTTATGTTTAAGTTTAGAACATTTGTGTTTGTAGATAATAAGGATTAAGGTTTATTTTTTAATTATTATTATCCCTTTTATATATCCTATTAAAGTAGAAGACATGAAACTTATGTGGCAATTATGTATGTATCTGTTTTGGCTCCAATGCACCATATTTCAGATTTCAGGAGTTTTTTTGGCACGTGTAAGTCTCTTTTAATTAGAAGCTATATAATTCTTTTTTTAAAAAAAAAAACACATGTTTTAGATGTGACACTTATCCAATGAAAAAATTCTACAAATAAGAATCAGTTACATTTCAAACGAATGGATATATTAATTCAAATTCAAATGTCCAATCGTACAGTTTTGCAGGTTTAATATAAACAAAAAATAAAAAAATTTAAATCCAGTAATTAAGAGTAATGCATTATAAACTAATTATTTATTATTCCCTTATAACCTCATATTTATAGGTATATTTTTTTAAGCCCCAAACCATAGCATAAATGATATATACGCCAAATTAATTCCTCAAAAAATAGTAATTCAATTAGATTTTAATAAAATAGTAATTTAGAAGAAGCTACCGGGCATCTGCCTGGGCCAAACATCTAGTCGGAGTTTAAAGGAGAAGACAATTGCATGGGATTATCCACGCGTCAAAAACAAGTATTTATTTTTTGTTGAAAATTTTGTAGGAGGAAGTTAGATTTCATTAAAAGAGTAGTACTAATAAAAATACCACGCGTCAATTCACCTTTATCTATTCCCTGGTATTAAATTCGTGGAACCGCATTTTCTAGTTTTCGTGACAAATGTTTTAAATTTTAAATTTTTAATTTTAAATTTTCGAATGATCCTGCAGATTGCGTAGATATACAAAGCGCTTTAAGCTAGCTGGAGAGCTGATATTCACCTTTGCATGATTTTGGATTTTCTTCCGACCATTACGCTTATTTTTTGTTGTAGCCTTCTTTTCTGTAGTCACTAGCTTGCTCATTATACATTATCTCAAATAGTCAGATGAAAAAAAAAAGTAAAAAAAATTGTATTAGTTGATATTTTTGGAGGCAAAAGTTTGGTTAATTTATAAGGAATTGTGTCCTTTTTTTAATGCTTCATGAGGCAAAAAAACGCAGTCAAATCGGTATACAAGACAATACTGTTTTGCTATAAATAATTTTCAGGTAGTCATTGACAATGTGCATATATATTTATTTATTTATAGTAGTTGAGAATCTAGGGGTTGTTCCAATTTCATAATTGTCACAATCCTAAAAAATGTCAAAAAATTAAACAGTTTATTAGCTTTGACAAATGTGGTTGAAAGTTGAAACTGGGACTGTGCTGCTCAGTTGATCCATGACCAAACTCATGCACAAAAGTTTCAAGTTCAGAGTACAATTAAAAATAATGTTCGAGTGAGTTTATGTAATAGCCTCTCTTATTGTAACAAAGAAACATAATCATCTTGTTTATTATTGTAATGATTATTTTGAGATAAAAAAATAACTATTTATTTTTAATTACTATTTAAATTTGTTGAAAGTATTAGGTGCATGAAACGAGAACTTGATTTGTAAGTGACTTTGGAAAATAACAATTGACGTTGTGAAAATTAAGCATTTACGCAACACACGTGCACCATATGCAACTGGTATGTAGTTGATCGAGTGATGATGCTTAAAATTGTGGCTAAGGATCAAATCCAGCAATGAGCCATATCTTTTTCTTTTCTTTTTTTTTTTTTTTTTTTTTTTGGGCTAATCCCAGTTTGTAGGGTTTGTTTACCAAATGGTTTGGTTTAAAGGAAAGTTCGTTGGATTTTCCCTTCATTTTCCAGGATGGCTACGTACCTTTGATTACTCCTAAAACTTGCAAGAAACTCATCGTCGATACCACAATTTTTTAAAAAAAGGAAGCTATACAAAGCATACAAACTAGTACAACTTAACATCACATCTTCCTTCTTTAAAAGGAAAAGGGAAAAAAATTATGATTCTCCTCATTAATTCATGAAGCTGACTGTGGGCAGACCATCTTCATAGAGAATTATCGGCCTTTGATTAGATATGTAGTTCCGCTAGTGGTTTAGACACTACCTTCTTTTTATAATTTTTTTTCCCCCACATTGCGTGTCACTAGTCAAAAATACTGATATTTGACACATCTTAAATCATTTATTCCCGTGTCTTAAAATTTTTGTCCAATTTAGAATTTTATTTTTAGTTCAATTTGTAGTAAAAGTAAAAAATTCAAACTGGACAATAATTTCAAGACGGGAGACAATAATTTCAAACTGGACAAAAATTTTTATCTTTACACTTTTATTTGTTCACCCACATAGTTACTACTTACATTAAAGGAGCCCCTCACCATGATTAGCCTTTTGTGGTTGGAAATATGTGCATAACCGCGTAAACAGATTGTCCTAGCTGGCTAACTCCATGCATCGTTTTGCATTATCTTACTAGTATATACTAACATTGGTATCTATTAATTGAAAAGCATATTGGCTTGAAAGCCGACCGAATGCCTAAATAGATCAAACAGATAGAACATTACATTTACTAAGCTAAATTTAGAGCAAATTTTGCTTTTGCAAGCTAGATTGATATGTATTGTTTGGTCGTTTGGAGTAATATGTTGGACTTAACAAGAGACAGCTAGTTGTATATATATGACTAGATCAAATCAAAGGGCTTTTGAAACACGAATAATTTACCACGCTCTAAGTACACATGCACTTTATTGTGTTTGTCTTTACACTTTTTTTTGTTCGTAACAAAAGATGAGTTTAGCGAGAATTTTAATGTTACTGTCCTTATTACACTCTATATAGCTCAGTTTAGAAAGTGACGACCAGGAAGACATGTCCGTAGCTGCAGGTTGGAT